TTTAATGTACTTAATCCATTTTATTGTGTTTTAAGAATACTTTATTCCCAAAATTTTGCCCAATCAAATCTTCTGATTGATTGATTGCATGTTATTTTACGTCCCGTTCGAGAGTTTTTTTTTTACTCATATAGAGACGTCACCATATACTTCAAATTTAGACCTTTACTCGGCACTTAGGGCCATTGAACAGTGAGGGTTTTATATCGTGCCATGGCCTACCGTGACACGGGGCCTCGGTCTTTAAGGTCTCAACCGAAGGACACGCAACTTTCACTTCAAAGTGCCGAGAGCTTGGCGAAGGAACAGTTGCTTATGTAGCAATATACCCTTATCACATGCATATGGGGTTGATGTCTCTCAGTTGATTCGACACGTAAGAGCATGCTGTACGTATGAAAAATTTCTAAAACGAGGCAAGCTTTTCACAAACAAGTTGATGAAACAAGGATATCAACAGTCTCGTTTGAAGCCATTATTTCGGAAGTTTTACGGTCGATACAATGACCATGTCAGCACATACAACCTATCATTGAGTTCAAATATTGACTGATGTTTTTCATACTAATTTTTAGGCCATTATTTATACACTGAACTGTCAACGGATTTTTCGTTTTTTTTTCGATCGTGGCAGAGGGCACACGGCGGGTGTAACCGGTTGGCAGGGGATGCTCACTCCTCCATGGCACCTGACCCCACCTCTAAATTTTGAAGTCCGTTTGCTCTGCTCCATATTTGTATCGTTTAATTGGACTTTCAAGATTGATTGAATACTGTTCGTTATCTTCATATTTCATTGCTACCTTTTTTATCGACTTAGGAGGGCAGTCGCGGCCCCTATTCGAACACACGACCTTCCGATCACGGAGCGAGCGCTCTACCGACTGAGCTACTGTGACGGTTCGAAACTTCTAAGAAATTCGCTAAACACTAACTTTCTCAACCTGTATATAAAATAATAACAGTTGACTATACAGTAGGCCTTTTCATATGCAACACATTCGAGATTTTCTATTACATCTTTTGTTTCTTGTAGGTATGCACAGATTAGAAGTCACATGTGAACGATGTGGGTCACACATCGGTCACGTGTTCAATGATGGACCTGCTCCTACTGGCCTCCGGTACTGCATGAATTCAGCCGCCATGTTGTTTGTTCCAGATCATAGAAATACTATTCACCAAGAGCCAGTGGGCAAAAAATAAAAGAAATAAATAGACTAAGTATAGATTTGTTAGTCTTTCGTCCGTCTCTCTGACTACCCAATCCAACTGACAGGTTAATTCTTAAGGATAGAGATTCTAGAGACTTTTGGGCGATGCAAAATTTGTCCGATCTCTGAGCAATCTTTGAAAGCCTGTCCCTATTAATGTTGTAGGGAGATCAGAAAGCGCTTGTTGTGCGATGAAAAATTCAGAAAATTGCCACATTTCATGGCGATTTTAACCTAGGCGTTCAAGGAATGCACACTGAAGGATCCTCCAGAGACTGATGTTTCATTTATTTTCCGTGACGACCTCCGAGAGTTTGCTGAGCGATTTATTTGCGACCGATCGAGACCATTGAGAGATGTACGGAGATTACGAGAGATAAAAGTCGACCTAGAGAGATCACCGAAAGAGATCAGTGAGAGATCCTTAGGCGTTCAAAACATTTTTTTAACTACTGAGGGACCATTTGGAGATTTTTCTGTGCTTTATCGGTGTTCTTTATGAGCTTAATTATCTTTAACGCCCTTAACCAGAGGTGGCGACCGTTGAAAAGTTGCTAAGCGTTGTAAAATTAACCAAATCTTTCAACGGTTTGCCGAGTTATTGCCATGATCTCTAAGGATCTTTCAAAGGTCCAAGTCTCCTCAAAGTTTTGACTGTACCTAAAACATTCAGTCAGGACGTAAAGTCTTTTAAAAATACGTCCAAAGAGTTCAAAAAGATAGCCCAACTACCAATAATCTCACAGAGATCCTTAACGAGTGCAAAATACTTAATTCGAATATGCAATTATAATGTTACACTGCTTTTAGTCGTCGGGAGTCAGAACCAGAAAATTATCAAAAGGTGGATATTAAAGATTGCTTATATCACAACCATGAGCTATAAGTAGTTTATACAGAACTAGGAAGCTTTTACATCTCATACGGTTTGTTTGCATCCAAAGCTTCGCAAACCTTCCTCTCAATTTAAAGCATGCACCATAGCATGTATGTCCTAATCAATGCAGCGGAGTTTTCTTCCATTTCCTAGACAATTCAATATGAATACATTTCAATGAGCATTTTCTGCAGTAGGCTAGATTTTAAGGATTGAAAGCAAGATTAAACAACACTCATTATTGCAATATTGCCAACTTAACTAAATTTCTTATCTGGGTGAATTAAAAAAAAAAATGACCACCAAACTGAAATTTTTTGGAAAAATTCAACTACTTATAACATATTTTTCATTTATATCATCATGTTGCACATGCATTCTAGTTTAAAATCCTGAAGTGGCAATAGAACAGACAATTGGATTAAAAAGTTTCAGAATTTTTATTAGTAAAATTTCTTTTGAAAAAAGAAAATATCATTACACCTTAAAAGACTTTCTAAAATACATAATCACTAGAAATAATAGTTTTTTATGCTTCAAAATGGTAAAAGGGGTATAAATGATTAAATCTAGACCTTGATTGAGTATCTTCTCTTGTATATGTGACAAAAATTGGCTTTTTGATTGTTATTTTACATTGTTTTTTCAATTCTTGTTTAAAAAGTTTTAATATGAAAAAAATATGAAGATATAAAATGCCCCAAAATTTACTTTTTTGTCCGTTTAAGTCAATTCTTTAAATCTAAGCCAAAAGAAGAATTTTTATATACGAGTTCTCTTACAAAAAATACTAGATTTTGAAGTGACCGTATGTTACATTATTGTGTTGCACTCCTGACATCTGATATGTATTTTATTTAACATTGTTTTAAAAATTATAACACACAATTATCCATTCCCACTTTGTAAATCAATTTGTCGTTTTGATATTTTTCATCGTTTACGGCAGGTTTTTCATTTTTTGAGAACCTTAAAACATGATTATTTGCAAAGTATAAAATATATAAATTGTATTTAGAAATATATGTGAAATGAAAACTATTCCCTGATCGAATTGACTGTCAAATTTCCGTAATTTGTTGATAGATATAGTATTTTGAACATGAAATAGTATCAAACATTTCTTTTCAACTTATTTTTTAGTAAAGATAGTAAAAAAGCATTGGTAATTATAAAGCAGTTTTGTTGCACTCCTGACTGCAGTAAAATTTTAAATTAAAACCACAGAACACAAAAATTCATAAAGTGTTGGAAACATCAAGTGGTAATGAAATTGTGCAATATTTATAGTCCAATACTTCATAATTAAAACAGATGAAAAGTATTTAAAATTCGCATTATTTTCTGGAATTATTCCCTATTTATGCAAAAAAAAAAAAAAAAAAAAAAAAAAAAAAAAAAAAAACTAGCTTAAATGTATATTTAGAAGATAAAATATATTTAAATAGCATATTTTCCTTTAGAGGACAATCACAGTTACCCACCAGAAAAATTCTACTCATCATATTTTCTTTATTTTTAAATTCTTATTGGATGATTTGTAATTCTAACATATTTGTTGCACTCCTGACCAAAAGCATTGGGGCCTTTAAAATAGAATTGTGAAGTGAAAATTACATAAGAACTTGTTCTGTTGTTTCAGTGAAGTTGAGGAGGAATTACTTGAATTTTATGACAATTTTTTAGCGTGTTTATTTTTAACATTCATTAAAAAAAATCACAAAAAAGATAAAAACACATCTGAATTGATAAAATTGAAAAAGGAAGTATTTAATAATAAAACTGTCAATAATTTAGTATTAAATTATACAAAAAGATCATTTTTAATTAATGAATACTTCTAAGCATGAATAGAAGTTGTTTTCGTCACACAACTTGAATCTTTAAAAAAATGTGTTGCACTCCTGACCATAGAAATATAGATCTGAAGCACAGAGAGATCCTGTAATTGATAAATCTATTTGGTAAAAATGTTCTTTGTGTCTTTATTTTCCAAAATAAAAATCAGAAAATCATATAATAATTCTAGTTTTTTTATGCTTGGGAGCAAAACATCAAATGTTGCACTTCTGACATTATTGGGTATGCACATATACTTGACTCTCATTAATGCTGCTTGTGATTTATATAACATTTTTAAGTTTTAAAATGTATATCAGTTACTGTTTTATACTTCAAAAATTCTTTTTTGTCTTAATTTTCTTTCAGAATTTTACAAATGATGTTTTTTGGCAATACTACATTTTTTCTGTTGCACTCCTGACACATGGTATAACATTTTTTTAAACATCAGCCACATTTAAAGCTCAATACTTTGAATATTATCAGGAAAGTCTTTATTTTCAACATAAAGCATTATTGTTTATTTCACAGATCTCCAAAAAATATTGAAATTTCAAAATGTCACTAAAAGGTGTTGCACTCCTGACAATTTTAGCATCATTTTTGGGCATAACTTTTTTGTTATTTGAGATATCAACGAGATATTTGGCAGGTATTTAGACACTATCTAAAGACATATGCTGAGACATAGAAATCTATTTTCATTGCCTGTATTTTTAGTGTGGGTTGATAAATATCCGTTTGGTCTTTTTTTTTTAATTCACCCATCTGAGATTACTAGTATTTGGTTTATATAATCCTATCTTATTTTAATGCTGTAAAGAAAAAGTAATGCTTGTATTAACATTTACAGACTCTCCCAAGAATTAAAGTAAAAAATTCAAGCTAGGGGTAATATGGTCTTTTAAAATTATTGGATAGTGTTCATCAAGTACTCCATCTGGTCATCAATGCAACTCAAAACGACACTCAATTTGTTGACCTTATCATTAGCAGACTAGTTTTCATGTTCACCACTACTTCAACTTCATAACCCACACACTTGAATAAACAAAATAGTATTGAAATTTAATTCAGAAAATTGTTTATTACAGAATAGTTAATTATATCAAAACAACATTTCTAAATAAGACATAGTTATATCCAATGATGTTCTCTTTATTCAACCTCTGGAATAAATTCCATGCCCTGTAAAACAAAATGTACGCAATTACACAAAATATTTTAAATAACAAGGATATTCCTGAGGATATGTTATCAAATCATTGTACTACCATGGTAAGTTGAATGGTATTAATTTGAAATTTTACAAACACTTGTCTTCAGAGATAATTTATGCAGTCATTATGTCATACATCATCAGCCAATTTATTCTCTCAGACCTCTTAATGGTACATGAGGTTCTATGTACAATATTACAAAGACTGTTAGACAATATACAAGATACACATGAAATGGCGGAAATTTAATATACACTGGAGTCAGCAGTTGACAAGAATTCTGAGAATTAGTGACATGTTGAACAACTGGATTTTTATTAAGCTCTTTGGACTATGCCTAAACACCTCAAATTCTATATGTCTGGTGCAATGAAGCTCATAATGCAAATTATTAAATCTTCCTTGACTTCAGCGATAAAATACACATAGACTTTTTAAAATTTTGTCTGATGTATTTAACATAATTTTTTAATGTAGAATTTGGTGCTTTAAAGAGTTGGAATATTCAGCACTTTCAAGGCTGATGCATTTTCAATCAGTCCATACATGTACAAAGATTATAAAACCCCATGAATGTTAAGGAATATTCATTTGTGCATAGTATTCAAATACTCATTAATTTTGTTTATTTATTAATTGTTTGTGCAATTTGTGCATTTTATAAACATAAATGCAATTTTTATACTTTTTTGTTTTCTTCTCCAAGATTGTGTATTCGACATCAAAATGCAGAAATACTTTTGATACAATCTGGTGTATTCTAGTCATCTACTTATTTTTTCAAATTGTATGATTTAGCAGTTAGTCATGAATGAAGAAATGGCAACTTGAAAATAGTTGAACTTTGCATGTAATACATACCCTACGGACATATCTGCTTCCCATAATGTAGTAATCTCTGTGACTCATGGTGTAGTCTTCTGTTACAAATGTATCTCTTTGTACTGTCTGAAGAATTCAGAAGAGATAGCAAATGATTATTAGATTATGAAGCATGAAGTAAAACATGTACAGACTTACATGAATGTATAGCATTTTAATCACCTACTTTGGGCTCAAATAAAAATGGCAAATGGTTTTCAAAATTTGAATTATTACGATTGCTTAAACAGTTAGTCATTTCTTTTTTAAACCAAAGGCTGCAGTTGCTATGTTTAATTTATGCAAACCGAATTTCCTCTATTTTCATACATAATAAATCTAACGTGTTTACGTGCCTTATCGTTATAACGAATCACTCGAAATATTTTATCAACTACTGTTGCAGGGATAAAGAGAAAGCCTATAGTTAGGGCAGTGGATGGAACAATCGACCACCACATCTTGGCTTTGGATCCGGATCGCAGTCGTCAGACTCGTCCTTGTCCAGATTTACCGGAAGTAAATTAACGCATAATGCCATCGTCCCTAGACTATTTCGATCGACATACATGTAGCTCTCCAATCTCCCATGCAGAGTTGTCGTTCGTGTTACTCTCTCAGACACGTATGAGCCGATGGTAGAGAGTGGTAGCTCTCCACGATGTAATGAATATATATTCTTGGTAATTTCAGGCCCGTAGAACGCGGGGGAGGGATGGAGGTTCCCCCCAATTTTTTTTTCTAAGTATAGTTTTTTTGCTATAGTAAATTTTCCTTTAGATGTAGATGCTGGTAGGTCCCCCACTTTAGGGTTAAGGTTAGGGTTAGGATGTTTTCTTTTTTAACTTTTTGTTTGTTTTTTAATTTGCGTGTCAGATAATTTTGGGAAATGCCCCCCCCCCTACATTTAGATAAGGTCAGATTTCTGGGAAAGTTGCCCCACCAACTTTTGAAATCGTTGCTACAGGCCTGCATGCGTTTCCAAGATGGGACATGCTGAACTGACAGCTGAAGTGGGTCTTGCCAGTTGGGGCTCGTTTTGTTCCTACTTCATTTTTGTATGAAATTGCTCTCCAATCAGCTTAGAAAGAAATTGTCCCTCCTAGTATTATTTAGTATTTAATCGCTCTTTTAAGGATGTACAACCCCCCCCCCACCCCCAAAAAAAATCCTGTCTTAATTTTCGTCATTCATGTATACAGTGTATATTTTATACATGTCTATATGTACTATATGGTATAGATATTTTGGACAAAATCGTTCGAGTCGTATTTGGACAAGGAGTTCCAAAAGTTAACCCCTCCACCGTTTGACTGTTCAGGAGGAGAAGAAATTTTCAAGAGCCTTGATTTTTAAGAAAGTTAGGTATACAAGCTCTGCTGTCAAATTTCATTGATTAGTTCGTTTAACCATTTAAAACATTAATAAAGTAATTTTGTAGAGGTAATCATCGACAAAAACAATTTTGAAGAACTTAAACTGAAAAACGAGGGTACCTGTAAAATGCAAAACGAAATAGAAACGAAATGAAACGAAACGAAATCTACCGAAACGAAACTTACCGAAATCTACCGAAACAAAACAAAACGAAACGAAATCAAAACGAAACCTACCGAAACAAACGAAAACTATAGAAACAAAAAATGAAATAAAATCGAGCAGAATTATATATATATATATATATATATATATATATATATATATATATATATATATATATATATATATATATATATATATATATATATATATATATATATATATATATATATATATATATAACCATTATGATTTTAATATATATTATATAGTGTATATTTTATAAGTAACGAGTCTCTTTTGATACGCAGTGAAAGGTAAAAAAAAAAAAAAAAGAAGATTTTGCGCGTTTCTAAACGTGCACATTTGTATGTAACACTTTTAAATAGATATTGCTCATTTTAGTGCAAAACAAACACATTAGACTAAGCCTCTATATATATATATATATATATATATATATATATATATATATATATATATATATATATATATATATATATATATATATATATAACCCAAGTTATCACTTTCGGGTTTTTGTTAATACAATCCATTTGTATGTATACTTGTATATGCAAAATCAAATTTCAAGACCTGCATGGCGATTCTTGGTCTGCTTGTGTCCAACACCAAACAATATCAGATCACGCACTTTCATAAACAGTAAATTAAAAGCGAAGGATAAGCAATTTTTGCAGAAATAATACGGTAAAGTTGCAACATCAAATTTAAATTAAATTCAAAGCATGCATTTATCGAAATTAGAACTCAATTTTTATCAAATCATTTGAACAATAAAATACCAATAGAAAGGCTCAGTGATAAGACTTTCAGATGACCGAGCTATTGCATAATTTCACATCTCTCTCTGTCTCATTCTTGGCTACTAATTATTATAATTTCAATGTAAATGAATAAGAGCTATCGACCCCCTTCTTTTATTCAAAACCATTTTACCAAAAATAAGTAACAAAACGATAAAGTTCTCATAAAATTTTAATATTTTTCCTGCTTAAACATCAACTCCAATGGAGATCGAGCAACTTTGCTTTTACTTCCTCCGGTATAATTAATACCGACTCTTTAAAAATAACTAACATATCTTTTTTAAAGCCTGGGAATTCTTACCTTAAACAGACGTTTTGCAAATGAAAATAAGCATGTTGCCACTTTTTCTTTTTTCCTCCCAAATACACGTACTCCCGTTCGCAATATTTTTTAACAACGAGGTCGTTTTGGGGTACCTGTAAAATTTTATTTTTAATTTTATATAATAAACCAACGAAAACATAGGCCTTGGGGGGGGGGGGGGTCCTTCTCGGAACTACCTCTCAAAAAAAGCTGGACCCGACAATAATCAAAAGTATAATAATAATTAGGCTTCGTATAATTGATCAAATATGTATAAATAACAGTAATGCACTTTTTTTTATTTAACTCAATGTGTACAGTTTTTCTTTTGTTTTTCTTTTTTTTTTTTCTTTTGCAAGTTATGTTTAAAGACATTCGCAATACAACAGTATAGTAACTTTATTTCGATCCGTAAATGAACAAGCCTTTACATGTAACATATCAATTTTGAGAAAATTGTTGTATTTCGGTGATTAAGGGCTAAAAATAAGAGCAAGACACAAAATTAGAGAATACTACGCATATTTTGAAATTATATAGTATGCTCGCTCATATTTGTAGCTGGCAGTTGATTTACAGTATATATATGCATATGTAAGTAAATACATCCCTAGAGAAGGAGCATTTATCGGTGTTTAAATTTTATATTAACAAGTGCTTGAACTATATAAATTTTATATGAAGTAAAAATAGCCCATATGCAATTACACATTATATATAATGATATACCTTGATTTGAAAAACATTCTGATAGTTTTGTTTCGTTTCGTTTCGGTAGGTTTCGTTTTGAGTTCGCTTCATTTTGTTTCGTTTCGGTAGGTTTCGTTTCGGTAGATTTCGTTTCGTTTCGCACTTTACAGGTACCCGATAAACTATTGTTCATCTTACCTTTGAAAAATGCGTGCTTTTCAATTTAAATATTTTTTTTAATGAAAAAACCCCCTATCGTTTGAATTTGGAAAAAAATACTTTCTTCATGTAGCTGGTTGCCAAAATAATCTGGATATTTTTTTTGTCGTAACTTTTTTATGCAATATATTTTGAATTTATAGCGAAAAATCACCCCTCCCCCTTTTCTCCACAAGTCACTTTTCTCACAGCGTCTTTTATACTTGGGACGTAAACAATGTTATGAAGGTACAAAAAAAAAATCTGGCTGGAAAATACCTGTTGCTTTTAAAATGTTATTTACATTATATTACATTATATTTTATCACAAACTCAAAACTCTACAGTGCATTTTAATGTAGATGCATGTCGATTTCTTTGCAACAACGCAGGTTATTCGAGCTTGATGAAACATCGGTTACATGTACATCTGCAGATATTAAGTCTATTTAATCCCTAAAGTAAGAATTCGTTCATTCATGTATGTACATTAAATATTGACTACTAGTATGTTTTGTTTTTAATAAAACTCATTTTCTAAGGATTTTTTGTCCATGTGTCTGGTATGTAGTCATACACATGTATGCACTCAGTTTCATATCTGTAAAATAAATGATTTCGACTTGTATTGAATTCGATTTAAAAAAAAAAAAAAGTGAAAGCACAATGGTGTATGTACAACTCTCCTGTGATATAAATGAAGTACGTGTATATATACTTTCTTACTTATTTTAAACAAGAGATGGGTGGTGGGAACCAATCCCCCCCCCCCCTCCGTTATTGTATGCATCGTTCTGTTGCTTCTATAAATAGAATAGAAATTCCGTGTTCATCCACATTAACTTTAATTTATCAATCTATATATATAAGTGACTGAATAATTATTATAATTGGTATCAACGTCTTGTTTTTTATTCTAGGAAATGCGAACTGAAACTGTTTACAGTGAAATAAGTTCGGAACTATTGTATTCAATTAATTTCAATGAAAAGTTCTTTTTCACTTTCGATACTTTCTATTATACAGCACTCAGTTTCTTGTGTTCATCAGAATTCACAGTAATACGGACGCACTAATACGCTTCCGTACAGTAAATTTATCGGAAAACAGGAGGAATAACTCAGCTAAGGAGAGGGGAAACTCCTACAATTTTAGAGTTGTTCCTCTTTCATGTGAGCTGTCTGAAAACGGTATCGATAATAAAAACGTTAATAAATGAGATTTAAAAAAAAAAAAGGTAAATGAGTTTTTGTTTAAAAAATGTTAAAATCAAAACAATATTTATTTCCATAATTTATAAGACATACCGGTAATCTCAATGTTATGTAGCCAATTGTAATGGAAATAAAGCAATGTAACATAAAAAAAAAACATGCTGTGGTATGATTATGTACGAAAGCCCATTGAGCTCATTTACGTAGGTTAAAAAATCTGCCGACTTTTTGCGCCCCCTCTAACTTCAATCCCTGGATCCGCGTCTGATAACGCGAAAGTTTCGCAAAATAGACGCGAAAGTTAAGCGCTAAAACGCAAAAATCATTTATTCTTTACCTACGAAAATGAGCTCAAGGGGCTTTCATAATCATTTTTTCATAAAAAGTTATCTGAGAAAAGGGAAATATCCTCATTTTCACGTTTTAAAAATCGCAAATTGATTCTGATTTGTTTTATTTACCAAATCAAATATATATATTAGAGGTGTTCTGTTTCAAACTTCATTTTCAGTGAGTTCCGATCATTTCTTCGCCGGTCGGTCAGTGTCTCTGCAAATAGCTTTTTAAAATGACATTTTAAATTAAGTTGGGATGAAATTAAGACAGACGCATTATAAAATGATTCAACAATCTGAGTCATTCGGATATCCCCTTGGTCGATTTTGTCAAGAATCTGGCATCAACTGAAATGAGCCGTCAGCGTCATCATCCTTGATGATAAGATAGGAACTTCGGTCATGGCTTGGTTTACTTAAGGTGTCAGAAAGTTCGCAACACACCTTAGACTTCTTTAAATAAACAAAATTCAGTAAACAAATTATAGATTCCGGATGCACAATATTGGGGTTCAAGATAGTTAGAAACAACCACTGATTAAAAAAAAAATATGTGCACTTTTATCATAATTGAGTAAAAACATGAATCTTTGCGCACATGCGGGTCGGGAAGGTCTGTTAATGGGAGTTTGATCAGAAATACACTTTGTTCGTTCCGCGCCAGTAACGCTGAAACCGACAGACCTCTTACTCACACGTTATAAAACACAGCGCTTTCTTGCACCAAGTCATTTATACATTGTATGATGAAGACTAATATATTCTACGTGATCTCTATTTTGGTACTGTTTCAAAAAAAGAACTGTTATGTTTTCTATTATTTATTGTGATATTCCTATGGTTTGTTTTTTTGTCCTCTTTGGGTATTATTACAAATCGTGCCAATTTTTCCAGAGTTTCATCCCTGAGGCCGCACCCCAGAGAGACAGGCGCTTGCCACCCGTAGGTGCCACTATTGACCAACTCATCGCGAGCTCCATGGGAGGGATAGAAGGTAGGCCCATGTACACCCTGAAATTACAGTAGTGAAGCACTAACAATAGAAAACGTTGTACATAGCTTTTGAAATATTGAAAAAAAATAACAAATGACAGATAATTGCCAATAATTGACAGTATACTCATTATATTCTTATTGTTCATTAAATTCCAGTTGAACGTCAGTTTCCACTTGCCAAATTTCTAAAACAAAGAAATAGTAAAACTTTAACCACGGTAACACCTGTACTATTAAACAACCAACGAGCATACCAAATATTCTGAATCATACAACAAATGTGCATCGAACAATTAGTACAAAAAATCAACGTGTTTCATGTACATGTATGCTTTCTTGGTTTTTATTGAAACAATGCAAATCACACTAGCTGTTGGTAGTGTGGGTTTTGAGAATACAATGCATACAATATATTTTTGTTTCATCTCTCTAGTAATATTTCCGAACATTTTCAAGGAAATGATTTTTACTCAAACGTAGCCCTTTATAGTATATAACGATGTTTTAAGCGCAATGAAAGGTTTTCAACACGTTTATTTTACCCTACTTCTTACGCAGTATACTCTAATATCTAGTTAGCAGAGAAATAATAGGATTTGAAGTAATAATCAATGTCATATCGTCAAAAATGTTTCTTTCTAATAAACAATTTCCAAAACTACATTGTGTTATCACAGAAAGTGTCTTACTAATTTCAAAGAAGAGTTCAACGTCGACCTTTAGATTTCATATAAAAATTTAAATCTACTGTTTTGGGGAACGATTTCGAAAAGATCTCCTTGATCAAATTTTCTGATTTAAAAAAAAAAAACCCAGAAATTTAGCTCCGATTTACCAGGCTCGAAAAAGAACCATAAAAACGACATATGATGAGTAAAAACGACATATGATGAGTAAGCGGTGTCAAACTCGGTTAAAGTTTACAGAAACAGTAATTTAAAAAAGATTAGTTGTAAGGAAACCGTAACAGAATTGATAGCACCATTACCTCCAGCAGTAGAAGATGAAAGTCCTACTGTCAACGCTCATATTGTGCAACAGAAATGATGTCGGGAACACCGACAAAGTGGAATGATCCTCCCTCTACAACTAATACCAACACAAATAGGGTTCATATGGAAAATGATGATAGCAAAAAAAAAATAAAAGTAATAATAACAAGAGACCCATAGGTCACAACGCTCACCTGAGTAACTTTGGCTCTGCTGTTCTTCACCAGACTTTCCCCTTGTAATACGTATTGTGGCCCCACCCTATCCCCGGGGGTCAAGATTTGGACAATTTAAAATCTACACAACCCCAGAATGCTTCATTGTAAGTTTCAGCTTTTGTGGCCCAGTGGTTCTTGAGAAGAAAATTTTTAAAGATTTTTCCTATATATTTCAATGTAAGGATTCCCCATTGTGGCCCCATCCTACCCCTGGGGGACAAGATTTGAATAATTTAGAATCTTCACTACCCAAGATTGCTTCCATGTAAGTTTAAGCTTTTCTGGCCCAGTGGTTCTTGAGAAAAAGATTTTTAGAGATTTTTCCTATATATTTCAATGTAAAAATTGGATTCCCCATTGTGGCCACACCCTACCCCTGAGGGTCAAGACTTGAATAATTAAAAATCTTCACTACCCCAGGATGCTTCCACGTAAGTTTCAGCTTTTCTGGCCCAGTGGTGCTTGAGAAGATTTTTAAAGATATTTCAATGTAAAACTTTGATTCCCAATTGTGGCCCCACCCTACCCCCGGGGGTCATGATTTGAACAATTTAGAATTTACACTACCCCGGGATGCTTCCATGTAAGTTTCAGCTTTTCTGGCCCAATGGTTTTTGAGAAGAAGATTTTTTAATGATCCCACTCTATTTTTGTCTTTTCTTGATTATCTCCCCTTGTAAGGGGGCTTGGCCCTTCATTTTAATAATTGTAACTCCCCTTTACCCAAGGATGCTTTGTACTGACATTGGTCAAAATTGGCCCAGTGGTTCTTGAGAAGAAGTTGAAAATGTGAAAAGTTTACAGACGGACGGACGACGGACAACAGGTGATCAGAAAAGCTCACTTGAGCTTTTAGCTCATTTGAGCTAAATATGATAATAATTTTAAAAATTCAACAACAAAAAAAGAAAATTTTAAAAATTCAACAACAAAAAAAGAAAAAGTAAAAAAAGAAAAGTAATTCATGTCCACATTATCTCCTATCTTTTATCAAAAATGTCACTTGTACATGTATATTAATTTAGGTACACGTTCAATAAAGTTTTAAAAACTGAAATCTTTGGGATTTAAAAGATTATGTCGCATAATTTTGACAATATCCATTGATGTTTTATCAAATAAGATTTTGTTAAAATTGTTTCTTTTTTCAATGTTTTTTTTCAAATGGGAAAGACTGCAACGTAAACTGTCTACATATAGAAGTCACGTTTTCTTATATTGTATATCTTAGAGGTAATATTTCCTCCTTCAGACCGTTATATTCAGTTCGAAGTCTAATCTAATGGAACCCTTTATCGAATACAAACCAGCTGTGTTCGCAAGGAAAAAGGACGATAAAGGCCTAAAAATGTTGAATTCTCAGAATGCTTCTACATACACCAGTGAAGGAGTCGAGGGTAACAGATAGTAATTAAACACCTATTGAACTTTAAAAAAACATGAAACAATCTGCGTGTAATTCCTGCCGCTAAAGATAGAAAGTGAGCAAACAGGGGTGTTCTATATGTCAATATTAAAGGGTTTTTATCACGTATCTAAATTTCTTAAAAATGAAACATTATTATATTCTTGAAACATATATTAATCGTTTAATTATGAAATAATGTCAAAAACGGTCGTAATTAGACGATAAAACGCCCGTAATATAGGGTCCTCGAAGTAAAAATCTCCACTAATTAGATAGGGGTCACGTGGTACTGAAACGTCATAGGTGTCAATGGTCAATAGATCTCGTAAAGCTTATTGTAAGAAAAAATATATTGAATAGCTTTTACGCTAAATAAATGGAATACACAATATGGCCGGTTAAAATTTTGACATCGACTATATTCCTTTGGTTATGGACGGTCAATCTTTTATGTATGAACGTCTAGCAAAGAGAAATAACTAGAAAATATGCCAACAATTGGAGAGAGGTCTCCGAAGACGAAGCCGTTGACAACTCGGGACTTCGACCAGTTGCCTCTGCTTCAACTAAATAGAACGAATTACTAATGTTTAACTTCGTAAACATTTATAAATATGGGAATTTTAAATTCTCCTTTATTATTATTTTAATTAATTATATATAAATAAATCCTGTATATCTTCTACCTGTTCTAGCAGTGAATATCATGTATTAGAAATGACACTTCTTCAATGGCGCCGTACGCCATTACGAAGTTCACAACATTCCTACTAGATTCTGTGCGACTTTTTAAAAATGCGTGTTTGTCATTTATTATTTTCTTTAAAGGTTTGTTTCCTTAAAATATTTTATAGGACAGAAAGAAATCGTGATCGATCGGGCATTAACGATTGTTCTGAATGGAGATAAACACCATCGCATATGCAGAGAAAGTCCCCCCTTTCATCTCTCGACCAAGTCCAGGAAATGTGGAAAAAAAAATTTCCTAAAACCTTTCTTGTGCACATTTGTGCATCCTAAAGCCATAGATTATAGCTTACTAGCTGTCAATTATCCAATTATCACTTAATTATTTTCTAACAGGTTTAATAGACACAACAAATGAGCCCTTTTGTATACACAATTAGTATTTCGCTTGACCAGGATTGACACCTATGACGTCAGAGCAATGGCGCGTAACATCGGCGATCAAAATATGCATATTGAGAAATTCAAACTTTGAATCGCTGAAACATCAAAAATATTAATTTTTTAGCAAAAATTTTTAAATGTATGATTTTAATAACATGTAAACTTTGTCATATCAAAAAATTTTGAGACGTGATAAAAACCCTTTAATCTTTCTCTCTCTCTCTCTTTAACATCAGTTTTCATTACACTGCAGAACAACAAAGTTTGCAAGCATATACTTTAAAAGACTGTCGTTGTAAGATTATTAAACAAATATTTAGTTATTTAATAATTTTCTTTTAATGTGACAAGTAAAACAAAAAATATCAATTTAAAACCCAATAATTTGAAATATCCTATTTTATTAAACAGGATAAAAAGAGAATTAATTTAACGAATTGAGTTACTGTATTTGATCATATGCACATCGGTATAACATACATGTTAACTCAATATAATTGAATTACAAAGATCAATCTATTTTCCAGGTTATGTAAACATCAGCAATAGACTTGTAACTCCTGGTTCCAAAGTCCTAGCAGAACTAGACATGTACCTCACTAGTGAACAATATAGAATCCTATACTCACCACAAAGGTAAGAAAAGGCAGAGCTAGTATATAAATATTACATGTAGTTGAGAGTAACATTGCTTCACCCATCAAAAACCATTGTCAACGGAGGCCCCGGCACTCTCTTACATGTACATGTATGCTTTCTTTAAAGTTTCAGTAATATATAGTAGTTTTGTGACTCCTGGTTCCAAAGTGTTAGCAGAACTAATATTTACCTCTGTAGTGAGTAGTGAACAATCCAGAAACTTACACTCACCATAATGGTGTGGAAAAAAAGAAGTGAACCTCACTTGTAAATATCGTATACGTAGCATAAAGGTGTGAAAAAACCATAACAAGGCAGATACATGTACCTCAGTATTACTAAACAATATACTTACATGTATATACTCTCCTATAAGTCGTTTTTTTTTTGAGTAATATTTTAGTCCAAAACTCTATATCCGACTTACTAGCGAGTCCTATAAATAATGGAATTTTTCTGGATGGCAAAAAATTAGTGGGTTGTTTAAACTACTCTGAGTTATCGTTTGAAATTGACTTCTTGAAAATTAAACATGTTAAAGATCTGATTCATTTTTCTTTGAACATACGTACATGCATTTTAGATACTGATACGAATTGATTTGTTGAGAATTAAATATTAATTCCAAAACAGTATTGAAAAAACATGCAAAAACATTAGAACGAAGTATCTTCTGAATCTGAGAAAATGTACCGACTTATAGGCGGATCAAAGAAAAATTCCTTAAAAATATCTTTAAGGTTTTCCATCCCTAATAGGACCTAATTCTCTATCCTTAAATATCCATCACGTATATAATACTCTGATATTAATTCAAAGCATTTTAAAGTAGAAAAGGATTTACCAAGAGAATGTTTTGAAAATGTAATTAACTAAGCAGTAATTAATTAACAGAAATTGCAGTGAAGTCTATGGAAACAAGCCATTTTTTTAAAAATAAAAATTCAATTAATAATAATATCAATAAATACTGTGGAAAGATGTATTTAATCATTAGAAATAGAATGACAATTGAAAACAATTTAGATTTTTTAAAATTGATTTTTATTACTTAAAAAAAGAGGGAGATAACTCTTCAACAAAGGTCAAGGTCATAAATTAGGACACGTTCCATTCTTACATGCTAATAGTAATGAATGGGAATTATGCATGTCTAAATATACTAATAGTAATAAATGGGAATTATGCATGTCTAAATATACTGAGTATTCCACCCGTACACATCTGTTATGTATTCTAATTCATTGAATCTGAGGCTATTAGGGATGGAATACCTTAAAAAGTACAGCGGAGCCGACTTATAAGCGGACCGACTTACAGGCGAGTATATACGGTAAACTCATAATTCAAAGCAAAGGTACGAAAAAATCAGAAATAGACTGGTACCTCACTAATTTTGGACAACATAAAATCTTAAACTCACCACAAAACGGTATTGCAGAACAACAACAAAGAACTAGTAGACGTGTGCCTCACTAGTGAACGGTATAAAAATCTTACACACCAAAATGGTATGAAAAACCAAAAATAGGCGTGTACCTCACTATATGTTATAATCACCACCAAGAGAAGAAAAACAGGAACTAACATATACCTCAGTAGTGAAAAATATAGAATGTTTTTGCTTACACCAAAGGTATGAAAAAGCACATCGTCGATACCCACGGTGATCTCGTCTTTTACTCATCAGTGATGAGTAAAAGACGAGATCACCCGTGGGTATCCGACGATGGAAAAAGCAGAACTATAAACATGTAGACTAGTGAACAACATATCATCCTAAATTCACAACAAAGGTATGGAAAACCAGAACTAGACATGTAAACTAGTGAACATTGAACAACATATCTTTTATGTTCACATCAAAGGTATTAAAAACAGTACTAGGTTTTTCCCACTATTGAACAATGTACTACTCACCATATATAGCAGAAGACGTAAGACCCTTGGTTTAAAGGTGTTAGCAGAACAAGACATGTACATCACAAGTTAACAAGATAGAAAATTATACTTATTACAAAGGTTTCTACTATGGTACTTATTATGATTATACTTAATAATTAACCCGTTTAAATTTGTATTTTGATGATAAAAAATAGAGAAAGACCCAAGAGAAAGGCCGTGAGATCCGGAGTTCTACGATGGCCAAATGGGGAAGTACCTTATGTTTTCAAACGAGGGGCATATAGTAAGTGATAAAAATGTGACATTTTTCACATTTCATCAGGGATTTCATTGTTTGTAGTTTTTATGCCCCCCGGATCGAAAGATCCCGGGGGTATATTGTTTTTGTCCTGTCTGTCTGTTTGTCTGTTTATCTGTTTGTCTGTCTGTCTGTTGTCAACTTTAACCTTGCCCATAACTTTTGATTGGTTGGAGCTATGACTTTCATATTTCACATGTGTATTCCTTGTGACAAGACCTTTCTTTGGGTACCATCATATTTGACCTTGACCTTGGAGTTTGACCTACTTTTGCAAAATTTTATGAGACTTTAACCTTAGCCATAACTTCTGAACAGTTGGTGCTTGGGGTTTCAAACTTCACATGTGTATTCTTTGTGACAAGGCCTTCCTTTGGATACCAACAACTTTGACCTTTTGACCTTGACCTTGGAGTTTGACCTACTTTTGAAAAACTTTAACCTTGGCCATAACTTTTGAACAGTTGGTGCTTAGGGTTTCAAACTTCACATGTGTATTCCTTGTGACAAGACCTTCCTTTGGATATCAACCACTTTGACCCTTTGACCTTGACCTAGGAGTTTGACCTACTTTTGAAAAACTTTAACCTTGGCCATAACTTTTGAATGGTTGGAGCTAGGGATTTCATACTTCACATATGTAATCCATGCGACAAGACCATCCTTTGGATACCAACCCCCACTTTGACCTTTTGACCTTGACCTAGGAGTTTGACCTACTTTTGAAAAACTTTAACCTTGGCCATAACTTTTGAATGGTTGATGCTAGGGCTTTCATACTTCACATATGTAATCCTTGTGATAAGACTTTCCTTTTGATACCAACCTATTTGACCCTTTGATCTTGACCTAGGAGTTTGACCTACTTTTGAAAAACTTTAACCTTGGACATAACTTTTGAATGGTTGGTGCTAGGGCTTTCATACTTCACATATGTAATCCTTGTGACAAGATCTTCCTTTGGATACCAACCACTTTGACCTTGATTTTGACGTTTGACTTTTATTCAAAAAACTTTTACCTTCGCCATAACTTCTGAACAGTTGTATCTAGGTCTTTCAAATTTCATAGGTGTATTCCTCGAGACAAGACCTTTCTTTGGGTATCAACATTTCTTATCTTTTGGCCTGAATTTTGACTTGCATTTGAAGAAACTTTAACCTTCGCCATAAGCTGCCATACGGGGGCATCAGTGTTTCACAAACACATCTTGTTTTCCTACAGTTTTTGTCGTCACTTTTTGTCAATAGGTAATGCAGACAGATATATGATAAGAGTAGCGATGCGGGAATGGGAGAAATATTCGTGCCTAAGATTTAGAAAGAGACAAAACGAATATAACTACGTAATCTTCCAAGACAACTTCGGGTATGTCTTAAAACATTTCATAATAACAAAAAAAATTTATTTAAAAATCAACACGTGTAACCTTATCACTCCGGTACGTCCAGATGATACAGATTTGCCTATTCCAAAAACATATCAACTAGTTACTAGTTTTTTTTTTAATTGTTGTCGATGTTTTGTCTGTTTTTAGGTGTAACTCTCAATTGGGTATGGTCGGCGGTGGGCAGCCCTTAAATTTAGACAGGAATGGATGCAGATATGTAAGTTAAACATTAAATAAAGTTGTGCAATCAGAAACCATATGCTTCCTTTCCTTGTAATTTTAATTGAATCAATGCGCAATAATTTCTTTGTTGTCAGAAAAATGCTCCCCTTTTTTATGGTCAATGGAAAAAGAGCAAACGTTGTGTATAAAAAAGTCGATGCTTAGAGAAAAAAAAAGAGAGCTACCTATATCATCAATGATAATCGAAGTTAATTTTATACCAATAGTAAGTTTTGAATGCAACCTTAATATTGTGTTATTTTCCTTCAGTGAAAAAGGATCGAAAAATAAAGAAAAGCTTTTTTCTGGTAACCAATATACTATCTAGTAATGATTAAACAAACCCCCAAACGCTCTCAAAATACATGATTTATATAATAGAAATTTATTAATTTTAATTTCTCGGTGCATCTTTGATTGCAAGAATTTTTCTTCCTTGTGTAATTAAGTGTTTTGGTAGACTACTAACCGAATTCTTTTCGACATGTAAACACCATTACTACGTCTGTATCCTTTTCTTTTTGAATGTTGCAGAAAGGACTGTACCTCCATGAAATCGGTCACGCTGTTGGTTTGGTTCACGAACACCAGCGACCAATTAGAGACCAATTTATTCAAATCAATTACAGAAATGTACAGCCGAGTCTACGACAGTGGTTCCAGAAATACCCCAATCGCCAAATCAATAACTTCAATATTTCTTACGAATTCTCTTCCGTCATGCATTATGGAACTACGGTAGGTAACAGTAAAAGTCAGATTTTTCTTTTAGATAAGTCAGTCAGAGAATAAGAAAATTTTTGTAAATACAGTCAAACCTTGTTATCTCGAACTCGACGGGACCTAAATTAAACTTCGAGATATCCAAAGATTCGAGATAATGAGTGTAAAAACATTAAGGAAACATAGTTGGGACTGCCAACTCGCTTCGACATAACGTGGTATTCGAGATATCGGTGTTCGAGAAAACAAAGTTAAACTATATACGCATTTTTCTTAGAAAATTTGATGATGGCAAATGTAAGAATAATTAAATGATGTAGAACATGAATCAAACAGTGGCTCAGCTCAATTTATGTCTGACACACAATGCATCTCGAATGTTAAAATTGTTCTTTTACTTTCAATTATGTCTGTCCTACTGTTTTAGGCATTTTCATTTGATGGACGTTCGAAAACAATAGAAGCACAACCCCAGTATAAAGCCCAGGAAGCGGAAATAGGACGTGTGTATTCTAAAGAACTCTCCTTCACAGACATTGCAACTGTCAACAACATGTATTATTGTAGTAAGTCACTAAAACACTTATGTCATTAAAGTTTTTCATTTTATTTTGTTTATTTGGGTCTAAATTAAAAAAAAAACTCTGAAAAAAGTTTGTTTTTTTAGTGTAAAAATTCGAATTAGAAATAGCAAGAGTTATCATTCCTCTGTTCACACGTTTAAAGCCTAATGAGTTTTCGAATGAAATGTTATGTATACGTTGTAATCATAATGTACTCAATTAAAGCATATTTTGAGAGGCAAAATTTTACAGAAAAGGCCTTTTAACCTGATAATATTATAAAGGAATATTAGTAATAGTAGTTTATCCCAATCAGGGTGATCGCGTTTAACTTATTCATATAGTACTGTGCTGACAGTGGTCAAAGACAATGTGGAATTTTTGCAAAACCCCCTCAACAAAGAAGATCGACACACTGGCTAATAACCATCCGACTCTATATGCTCTTTTGCCGAATTTTTTTTTTTATTAAAAAAGATATTGCATAGTCAAAGATTTAAAAAGTTATGGCACTGGTAAGGTGTTGTTTTTCAGTACTTTCAGTAAGTTGATTAATTACATTATACATTTTAGACAGACACTGTAGTAGGAATACACGATGTAGAAATGGTGGATTTGTGGATCAGAACTGTCGGTGCTCGTGTCCTGATGGAACGTCCGATTGTGAAGTAGGCAAAGTACCACAGTTTCAGTGTAAGTTCAAAAATTTCTCATAAATCAGCTGGCGTCAAAATTTCATAAATATTTTGGATTCTGTCGAAGATTACGCCTGGCGATGGGCCAAACATGAAAAAGAAGACCCTTGACACTTTGTCAGAATATGGATTTAAAGTATATCAGATGGATGTTGAAATCATTAAATTGTAGAGGGGCAATATGAAAACCATCTGTCTTTCTGTCCTCCATAATTCAGAAGTGAAAAAGAATTAAGTAGATTATACGATCTATATCTAGTAGTCAGCTGACAAAGCAGGTAATAACATTGTCTTTCTAAGATTCATTATTATAATTGTATTTTAGAGGAACTTGGTTTTACTTCTGCAAGTTGTAATCATTTTATACTCATAGCTCTCTGTCTAAGGAGGAAATTCTTCAAAATCAATTATCAGTTTTAAATATTTTTAATATTACCAAAATTCAAATTGAATTTGAATTACCATAACTATACTGGATTCCTAAACTATATAAAAATCCTTACAAACAAAGATACATAGCGGGTTCTGGTAAATGTTTTACCAAGCTTCTTTCTTTACACCTCACTAAAATATTAACAGCAGTGAAGGAGAAACTTCAGGAGTACTGTACAATGACATATTTGAGAAGTCACTTGTCATTTGTAAAATTATTTTGTTCAAAACATTCTAATTGTACACTCAAGTACTCTGAAGTTGATATTAAAAAGATGCTTGAGTTTCTGATGGACAATATCTACAGTATGTAGTTTTTAGAGATCGTATTTCAACAATCTGTTGGAATTCCTATGAGTAGTAATTAACAGACCTATTTTTGTATTCATATGAAGCAGACTTTATTCAAAAACATCTACATGAAAAGAAGTCTCTTGCTGTAGCTTTCAATTCTACATTTAGATAATTATATCGATGATATATCAATTAACAACATTCATTTTCATTCCTACGCTGATTCGATATATCCCCTTGAAATCGAAATAAAAGATACCACAGAGTCTGACACATCTGTTTCATATTTGGATATTATACTAGAGAAAGACATTATTCTACGTAAGAGCGATATCTAAAACGAGGCAAGCTATTGATAAATAAGTTGATGATACAAGGATATCAACAGTCTCGTTTAAAGTCAACATTCTGCAAATTCTATAGTCTATGCAATGACCTTGTTAGCAAATACAATCTATCGAAGTCGAATGTTGACTGACGTTTTTCATACAAAATGTAAGGCAATTTTTTTCACACTGAATCGTCAACGGATTTTTTCGCTTACCCATGACAAGGTGCACACGATGGGTGTGACCGATCGACAGGGGAAGCTTACTCCTCTATGGCACCTGATCCCACCTCTGATATTTTTAAAGGTCCGTGTTTGGTCTAATACATTTGTTTGTTAATACATTTGTATTGTTCCAGTGACTTTTGAGCTTGATTACTGTCCTTTATTTTCATAAATTGGCGCGGCGATGTTAGTAAAATATGCTGTAAAAGTATTGATTTATATTTATCGTGCACGATATTTTGCGGAAATTGCTTTTTCAACAAGTTAGCGTAGATTTAATTTAGCGCATACCTGAATGTGCTAAGGTTTAAATGTACATACAATGTAAAAAGACATTAAGCGATGTACTTTATTTAGCAGAAGCTGCTTTCCTGCAAGGGTGCTTAATAGAATAAACTAAAAATGTAAAATCTTCAAAATCTCGCACTTCAGATTAAAAAAAAATATTTTCTCAAACAAGTTAAACTACATGAATGTTTTACTTTTGAAAAACATTAAACGTCAATATGAGACACCCAGTGAAACTTCCTGGATGACCATGCTTTTCTATTGCATGAACCCTGTTTTAATCCTATGATGCCTGAATGTATTTCTGTAAACGATACTGCCCGTATTTTTGTTTGTTTGTTTGTTTATGGTGATTCGCTAACCCTAAGCTGAAGTAAAGAGGTGATGTCCTCTATTGAGGACAAAGTTTTTTTTTACAAAAAAAAATCTTTTTAAAGTTTGTAGGAATAAAGACAAAGACTGGTCATGTAATGTATGGGCGAAACAAGGAGAATGTGAAAGGAACCCCAGATATATGAAACCAAACTGCGCGCGTGCGTGTGGAATCTGCAGTGATGCCCTCGCAGCAGACAGAGGTACGGATTTCGTAAATAAATGTATATATGTTTGTGTAAACAATTGGTCAGCTTGAATCTATTCCAAGATCAAATGCATTTCAAATAATCACTTTAATAGTTTAAATACAATTATATCCTAATAAATAAATACCCTCTCTTTCCATGATTCCACTCATGGTTACCTGCAAACAATGAATATGAAGTCACTGTAAAAGACTTCAATTAATGTCTTTGAGACCATGTTTTGTTCAATTAAGAATTAATGGATATTTTCATCAGTTAAATGGAAGTGATGTTGTTCTTTTAGTTGTTGGGGATCAGTGTGTCGATGCCTACCCGGAGGGCACCTGTAAAGGTTGGAAAGCAATTGGAGATTGTGTATCAAATGAAAAATGGATGGCACAGAACTGTAAGAAGACGTGTGGCGTTTGTGACAAAGATTCAGATCCACCAGGGAGTAAGTACATGTACAACTAAATAATTATGACGTCATGGACACTGAACAAAGCTACTCCATTAGTATTTTGCAATTGACTCTAATATGCAAACAGCGTGTTTATTCACATATCTCCCTTATTGTCTATTCTTTAGCTGGATGTTCAAATATACAACCAGATAGGAAATGTGACGATTGGGCAGTAAAAGGTGAATGTGGTGTCAATCCACAATGGATGGAACGGAACTGTCGAAAGTCATGTCGTTTGTGTCCGGAAATTAGTACCACCACACATAGACCACCACCAAGAACTACACCACAATTCATTCCAACAAGAACTACAGTTCAACCTTTTACCACAAGTACCATCCCACCTACCACAATGACTTTCCTCCCACAAGCCACAAGTGAGCTCCCACCTAACACCACAAGTATACTCCCTCCTACCACAACTTTCCTCCCACAAACCACCACAACTGTGTTCCTACCTAACACCACAAGTGGGCTTCCTCCTATTGCCACAAATACACTCCCACCTACAACCACAACCACCAGAGCCACTGTTACTACGACTACAAGAAGAGAACCAGTTACTACCACCAGACTGCCCATTACAACTAGACGTTTTTATGAAACAACTACTTTATCAACAAGGACTACAACACAAAGAGCAGGTAACACTTTATTGATACAGATAAAGTGACGCTAGCTTATTTAGAGAAGAAGTATATTAGGTTTTCGTTAGATAATGCTTTCAATATACGTCTTAATCTGTTCGCAAGATGTCAATCCTCGAGTGGTGGCACAATTTTACTTACTGTACATGTTTTCTTAAACGTATGTGGATTTTTAATTTATTCTTACTGCACTTGTTTTCCTAATGTACGGGTAAAATAAAGATGTACTTAATCTCCCTGTTTCATTAACGCATGGGTATAATTTTGTTATGCTTACTGCACCTATTTTCCAAACGTGAGGGTATAATAAAGATGTAGTTACTGCATCTGTTTCCACTAAGGTATGGGTATAATTTAGTTGTGCTTACTGCACCTGTTTTCTCTCGCATGGGTATAATACGTACACATGTATGTGCTTACTGCACCCGTTTTAGTAACATAAGGGTAAAATATACGTGTATATACATATATATGTTTACTGTACCTGTTTTTCCAACATCCGGTACAATATAAATGTGTTTTAATCTATAATTTTGTTGTGCTTACTGCACTTGTTTTCACTAACATACGAGTATAATTTAATTGCGCTTACTGCATCTGTTTTCTCTGTAGTATAGAATATATTGTAGTTGTATCAACTACACCCGCCTTCTCTAATGTACGGGTGTGTTTCAGCTGTGCTTAATGCACCTGTTTTCTCTAACACATGGGTATATTTCATTTTGCTCCTTTCACTTGTTCTCTCAAATGTTTAATTAATACCGTATTTAGTTGTGTTCTCTAACGTTTGGTATATTTTAAGTGTACGTTTTTTCTCTAACGTATGTGTATATTATAGTTGTGTTTTCTCTTACGTGCTTCTTGCATGTGTTTTCTCTAACGTATTGGTAATCGGGTATATTGCAGTTGTGTTTCTCTGATGTATGGATTTATTGAAGTTGTGGGTATACGTGTCGGTATATTGTAGTTTTTTTCTGATACGTATGAGTAAATTGTAGTGGCGTTTCTCTGACGTACGAATGGGTTTGTTGAAATTTTGTTGTCTAATGTACGTTTGGGTATTTTGTAGTTTGACTTTGTGTGTATACATGTATATTGTATTAGCGTTTCTTTCTTTCGCATGGTTTGTTGAAGTGTTTTTCTAATGTGTGTGTATATTAAAGTTGTTTCCTTACGTACATATTGGTATATTGTAGTTGTGCCAGCTGCTCCAGTTGTCTCTGTGAGGATAGTTACATCCGAATCAGTAGACTTTAAGGTCACGTTTCCGCAGGACGGATCAAGACCAACATTTCTTAAAGTAAAGCCATTCCAAAGAGGTCTAAAACAGAGGAGTTATCCAATAGGTATGACTGGAAATAGTAACAGTTTTCGTTATTTGATTATAAAAAGCAGGATTTTTAAAATCGGTTCGTAAACCTTTAGATGATCTAAGTGTGGAACTTTTTAACTATAAATTCAAAACGGATCAAACTGAAAAAAAAAACTAACAGTAATGGAATGTCTAAATTGAGTAAATGACTCTAATTAGCTACGACACATGTATTCTATGTAAATAAATATTCCTATATGAAAAAACCTAATCAAATAAAACTTCATAAAAAATGTTTATGAGGGAGTATTTTCTTCCAGAATTTGTCAATAATAAGCCCCGGAGCATAGTGGTAGAATACTTCAAACTAAAACCTAAAACGACATATTCCTTCCGATTTTTTGCCATAAGCAGAGCTGGAACTGGACAATCTATAGATAAAACAATAATTACAAAGACAAAAGGTAAATACACTAAAAAGAATTGTACTGAATGTTGAATACATACACGAGTATGCAAGGTGTGGTTTTGTTTCCAAAAATCTTCTGTTTTAATTAACAAGGCTATCTTCTTGATCATGCAAAATGCCAACTGTCCTGTTTGACCATGTTATATCAACCTACATAAACATGTATAATTAAATTACGATTCAGATAGAGAAGGTTCCTGTAGGAATGACTATTCCACAGCCAAGTGTCAAACGTTTGAGACGAAGTGGAAATTCTGTAGACTCCACAGAACTTGGATGATGAAGCATTGTAAGCAGACCTGTGGTCTCTGTCCTGTACAGAGGGAGGAACCCGTCAGTATGTAGTCCTAACTATGCAAAGATTTATTATATTTAGAAGAAGTACTAGAAAACCAACAAAACTGTATATATCCTAATGTGTCGGATCTACTAAATAAATAGATACAAAGTCACAAAAAGGGAATTTTATACAAAGCACTAAAAATGACTGACATGAACAAAAAAATTGTCAAATTATCGGGACGCCTTGTTCATTCCTCAGGACAAAGAAAAAAGTTAAGAAGTCAAAAAAAAAAAAAAACAAAGGAGAGAAACAAAAAACAACTAGCACTGCAACTACATTAGCAAATATTATATATTTAACTTTCCTTTGGTATAAAAATGCTGAAGCTATGATATATGCAGGTGCCTTAAAAAGTTCTGTCATATGCCATATACGTAAATTCCATATTCAATATTTTTACTGCTTGAAGAAGAAAATGCTTGGATAATTATTTTTTTTCCTTTTATGCCATTGTTGGGTATAATAGTATACATGTTTCATACCGAACATTTAAATTGTTTCTGTTCTTTTCTGTGTTTCTATCCTCGTGTACTTTCTCCGCAGGAACAGGTGACCCGAACTGCAAGGACACCAATAAGTATTGCCAGACGTGGTCCCGCCACGGACACTGTGTTAGAAATCCGTCCTACATGCTCAATTACTGCAAGGCAGCGTGCAGGGTCTGTACTCCAGCAGCATAAAAATACGCAGTCTCTCTCCAAGGTTAACCTTCTTTATTTAATGAATAATTTAGGGTTTTCTGATCCATTTGGGGATGGAGTCAGTTTGGCGCAGACCCCCATATCTTCAGCAATACAAAATTTACTACATGAAGTAAGTTATGCTGGATATGGCTTTGGACCCCTCCCTCCTTCTCTAAGGGAATTCAACTGTTAACCCCCTTTTAAGACCTTCGAAATGAAAGCTGAATACCCCCTCCTTCCCATTAACCCCCTTTTAAGACCTTTGAAATGAAAGCTGAATACCCCCTCCTTCCCAATAATTAATGTTCATTTTTTCTTGTGACAGGAAAATATGTGGGTTGAAATATTCTATTTTTCGTTGGATATAGACAAACCCCGACTCTTACCCAGGAATATTCCTTGATCTGCCTTCCTTATTATGGTCTAACATGTTGAATTTAATTTTCTAATATGTTGAATTAATACTTTTTTGCTATACATGTATATCATTATGATGTTCAGGAGATAAACGAAAAATCTTCATGATTTGATGTAAATGTATACATTGTAGAATGAGATATTGTTTTTTTTATTATTTATCTGCATTATTATCATAATATCGTTATTTAAGTGTTAACCACTTGTTTTTGCATGCAAGTTTTTTTTTTTGTAAGTACGAGATAAATAATAATTATATGAATTTGATTGTAATACAAGGTATCTGCCTGTGTTTCCTTAATTATTTTTTTATTTTTTATATTTAATTTATTTATTTTTTGTAACAGTATGTATCTATACTATAAAAAACTTGATGTATCAATGAAAACATTCTTTTGTAAATGTACGTACTTGGTGTTTAAATTGTACCTTTTTATTCGTGTATCAATAACCTATTTGCGTTTATATTTTTGTCAGTTTGATGTTACATGATGAAAAAAAAAAATTCTAAAAAATAAATTGTGTGAAAAGCATCATCCTGGAAATAAGATTGAAAATATTTGGTTTACTTGGTTTTGAAAGTTAAATTTATAATAAGCCCCCTGAACCTAGCTAAGCCTAATATATCCCCCTCGTAACCCCCGAAATATAAGTACAATTTTATTGAAGGTGTAAATAATAGTGGAAATAAAGTTATCCCCTTCACTTACATATTCAAAGAAAAAAAGGAAATATTTTCTTTCTTCTTTGGGGAAAAAAGAGAAAGACATGCAACTCTATAACTGAGTCAACTGTATTTTCTTCGTAAAATTGTTTGTCAGCAACGATTTGTTTCAAATATTTCCCTGCACGTCATTCTTTGCTGGAATTTCAATTTTAAAAAAAATCACAATAGCAAAAAAAAAAAAAAAAAAAAAGAGGACAGGGTTCTCTCCATCTTTCCTACATACAATGTACATCTATGAAAGAAATACCCCTCCTTTTCTACATATCTTTATAATTAAAATACCCTTCTTTCCTACATACCTCTATAATAGAACCCCCCCCCCTCCTTTTCTACATACCTCTATGATAGAAATAACCCCTTTCCTACATATCTCTGTATGATAGAATTAACCTTCCTTTCTTACATATCTCTATCAAAAAATACCCTTCTTTCCTACATACCTCTATAAAAGAAAAAAAATTTTCCTACATACCTCTATAAAAGAAAAAAACTCATTTCCTACATACCTCTATAACAGAAAAAAACCTCCTTTCCTACATACCTCTATAACAAAAAAAAAACCTCCTTTCCTACATACCTCTATAACAGAAAAAAACCTCCTTTCCTACATACCTCTATAACAGAAAAAAACCTTCCTTTCCTACATACCTCTATAACAGAAAAAAACCATACCTCTATGATAGAAAAAAAACTCCTTTCCTACATACCTCTATGACAGAAAAAAACCTCCTTTCCTACATACCTCTATAACAGAAAAAACCATATCTCTATGATAGAAAAAAAACTCCTTTCCTACATACCTCTATGACAGAAAAAAACCTCCTTTCCTACATACCCCTATAACAGAAAAAACCTCCTTTCCTATATACCTCTATGACAGGAAAAAAAACTCCTTTCCTACATACCTCTATGACAAAAAACCCCTCCTTTCCTATATACCTCTATGACAGGAAAAAAACCCCCTCCTTTCCTACATACCTCTTTAAAAGAAAATACCCCTTCTTTCCTACATATATCAATGATAGTATACCCCCTTTCCTACATACCTCTATGATAGAAACACCTCTCTCTCTCTCCTTTCCTAAATATTGCTTAGAAAGCAATACCCCTCCTTTTCTACATACCTCTATGATAGAAATACCCCTTCTTTTCTACATGTACATACATGTACCTATATTATAGAAACACCTCTCTCCTTTCCTAAATATTTCTAAGAAATACTCTTCTTTCCTACATACATGTACCTCCATGACAGAAATACCCCTCCTTTCCTACAAACCTCCATAACAGGAATACCTCCTTCCTTCTTACATGATACTTTGATAGGCATTCATTTAAATAAAAACAATCGTCTAGAGACTTGTTTATTGAGAGACAAAAATCATATCACACAAAAATGTTTCCATGTACCTATGATTAATGACAATTTTAACCATGGAATTAGTAAGACTTGAAAATCTAGTTTGTTCATTTCATGAATTTTTATCATGTTGTCTATTTGACATATGTAATCTAACTAGGTGTTTTGTAAAGATTACATGCATTGCAATAATATGAATAAATGAAATTCTACATATCTATTTTATACAGAAATATAATACTAAATATTATGTTTGTCATTTGTTCCCAAACTCGGAGAAAAGACATTTAGCATCTTGGGAAAACAAAATGTGCTGCCAAGGCAACAATAGGGGCTCCTGTGGGGACTCCAGGGAATGGTCCTGATGAACCAGCAATGTCCAGGTGGGAATAGGGCAATGGCTGGTCAGAATCTTTCCCATGCTATAAACAAGAATATTAAATACATGTAATTGAAAGCATTTAGCCAAGTTATATCGCTCTGTGCAGTGGAATCATTTTAGATCGTGGAGGTCAATTTTAATGGACTATTAAAATTTTCAGGGTCATAGGAACATAACTTTGGTAGAAAACATCCCATCAGGAAAAATATAGCCTTTAGATCAATATTTGTTTGAGTAATTAATCATGGATAAGGAGTAACCAAGAAAAATTTACACCCCTGACATGGGACAGTTCCACACTTTTTCATTCAAACTTTTCCTTTTGCTTTTAATTAATGCACAGGTTGTTTTTGGACAATATTTTTACTTAATGCCTGTAGAATAAATCTAACCTTCTCCATTCCTGAGGCTTCTATCAGAAACGCTGCTGGGGTTTGGTGACCACGGGCGGTGGCTGATGATGGGGAGTTGTTACACTGTAGAACATCCTCATACTCGGATTTACCACGATGGAAATCGTAGTCCTACAGCAAAAAAATAAGTTTAGGAAATAAGGATAAAAGAAACGTAAAATCATAGTCTCAGAAATTTCTCTGTTTATGCAAGTAAGTGCCCAGGGCACTTGGGGAAAAATTGAGAAGAGGAATGCCAAAACGTCTGCATTTTGTAGTTAAAATGTCTAAGAGGCAAGGTTTCAATTTTCAAAAAAATTATGAAACATACAGCAAAACCAAAATAAAGGATTATCCCTTAATAACATCATCAAACATCTACAAGTTACAATGCTGAATACAAGATACATTTTATATATGTTTGTACTATTCACTGACTTATCAGGTCATAACTAGCGGTGATTTTTTTCCAGATCAATATAACAAAAAATAGGGGCTTAGGCACACATTGAAATGAGTAAAAAGCAAGTCTCTTTTATAAAACGATGCAGACTTACATCTCTTCTGATTGTTGAGATCTCAAAAGGATCCCCCCATGTATCCCCCGCAGCCTGGATGTTCTGAGCGTTGTTCATATTCCTTGCTGGTCCATTGTCAAGAATTGCCTAAAAAACATTAATTCTCCAATTTGTACAGGTACTTTGGAACTTTAAAATGGATTCAAAGTGATTTAATTACATATTATTTACTGCAGCATCCTTTGTTACGTACTGAATAATTTGGTCCATAAGCTCTGATAACATGTCCTGTCAATGTTGCTATGGTGAATAGCTGTGGATTTACTGCACTTCTTGCCTTAAAATCAGTAACAATAAAAATAACTTGAACAATAAGTACACTTGTCCATTGATCCCAGTCATTTCCAAATTTTCTTGTTTTAACATAAACATTTAGTATAAAATACCATTTTGTGTGAATATGTTAATTTATCAAACATTTGTGGTAGATATCACTCATTAAATACTTTATACCACAGTTTCATTGCTTTATTTAACACTTCCAGGAAAAGTTGACATAATATAAAACAAGTCAGATGCATAGTGTAAGAGATAAATTGAACATCCATCCATGAAGTCTGATTATATGTTAATTTTATCCCACAAGTTGCAGGTATATATTCACTCAGCAAGCCTCCTGAATATTTACCATTTCAACTTTTTGGAATAAGTCAATAAAAAGTAGCACTTCATTTATATAGAAATCATTTATCTACCTGTTCCTTCAGGTAGCAAAGAACGTCAGCCATGGCCATCCGTCCCTCCGCATCTGTGTTCCCTACCCTGACCCTCACTCCAGCTCGGGAAGTAATGATCTCGTCTGCCACATAGCAATCTAAAAGGAGTAATGGTCATTAGATTGCTCACCTTTTCTAAAATAATTACATGTAAAATATATCCTATAAAAGGTGGCCTGAAATACAAATATACTTACTAGAACCTACACTGTTTCTAACCATTGCCATTGCTCCTACAACTCGTAGGCCCTTGGGCTTCATTTCATTCAAAATCTGTAGAGACACAATAGATCACAAATGAACTCATGAAATAAGTACCACTTTCAAGTCACAAATCCTGCTGAATTCGACACAATCTTAAACAAATGCAGATGTACACGTATATGTATTAAATGAAGTTATGCTTTATTTATTATTTACCTTGAAGAACCCAGCAACAGCAGCTGCCCCACACTTATCTCTGTGCATCCCCGCCATCACACCCCCCGCCTTGATGTCTGCTCCACCAGTGTCATAGGTCACACCCTATAAACATACATGAAGTCCACATGGCTAGTATGACCATCCCTTATTTAGCTAAATGCTCGCATGGTGATGATCTATACATATTAACAAGATGAAGGTTTACCTTGCCAACCAGAAACAGGGTTTTGTCAATATCTCCTTCTCCAGTGTACTCCAAGAAAATCACTCTCCCTTGATGTCTCTCTACCTCTGTTTTAAAATTACAATTAAATCTTAGCATCAACAGGACTGCTCTTCCTAACTTTTATATGTCATGTTTCAGTACAAACTCTTATCTTTTTCTGCTGTAGAAAGCATTTCGCATGCTATAAATGTTATAAAGTCTATTTTATTGAAGTCAACACTTTAAAACTGTTCACAGATGTATCACAACCTTATTTTTGCTGGGTACAAGAGACTCAAATTCAAAACAAACTAAAACTCATTTTCATCAGAAAATATGACAATTATTGGTCAGTTCAGTGCAACAGTTTGGTCCTTAGGTTCACAAAAGATTGGACCAAATTGTTCCCTAGCCTTAATATAAAATTTCACAGAAGTTGATGATTATTATATGTTGATTATACATACGGTTAGCGGCTCTGTTTACAGCAGCATACAGTGGGTATTCCTTCCTGAGAGTGTCAGGATCTGATATCACAGTCACCTGTTTTCAGATCAAAAGAAGTCTTGGTGAACTGCACAGTAATGTTCACAGATATTAAAGGTGAGAACATTTAAGATTACTTCTGGGATTCTACTCTTTCATTCAAATATACTGATTTTATTTTTATTTTTCTCTGATATTTTTTTAGTCTAACTTTTAAATAACAGAAATTATTTGGACATCAATGAAAACTAACTTACAATTTCCTCATTTCAGAAAAAAATGTTAAGATAAGTTGCATGATGAGGAAAATTTGATTGCAGTAATCTGATTTTTATATGACCTTGATAGCGGTGTCCTTGAATGCTTCCTCCACATACTTGGCCACATTGGGGGCCGCCATCCTTTCAGGGTCTGATCCCCCAATGTCTCTCGTAATAATCCTTTCAGAAAAATCATAATTAAAATTATAAAACAATTATCTATGCTTTTCTATCGATTCATCTTAAAATAACGATCAAAGAATTTTTTCCTAAAATTACCGGGTTCATACATGTATATATATACATTTTTTTTTCCACTGTGGGAAAATCCATTTTTTGTGGCATGTGCTTAATATATGAACCAGTTTGTAGTCAAACCTCATTTGACATTCTGGTTAACATCAACAATAAGTGTAAGTCTTGTTATACCATACATTATATTTCAGTACATTTGTACCTGCCAGACTCCACAGCATTGGCCAGGACAATACCCTGTTTGACACGCTCCTCAGAATTACACCAGATACCCAATGCCTCCACCTTAGAGGCTTTGGATGGTACATCTTCTCGTATCTCCAGGGGCTGAAACAACCAGACTTAACTTTGACAAACCTTCTTTTACAAGCCAGGAAACAATTAATATATCCACCCCACCCCACCCCAAAAAAAAAAAAACAATGACATCAACTTCCACATAGCAGAAGTATTTTGTATACATCTATTGATAGTATATTTGCAGAAATGTACATTCAGAATCATTTGCCAGTGAAAATAAAAACTTTCCTACCGTTTCCTGCTTGTTGATAACAATCTGACAAAGTACATTTCTAAAATGTATGTAATGTGACATTTGAAATTTACCACATAGAGGGCAGATAAACATCCCAGTGTGGTCACACTTCCTGCCTTGGGAAAACTGTTGTCCACGGGACGAACAAGGAGGGGCCTCTTACAGCCAGCCTGTAGTGCCCTGAAACACAAAGTATACAAAATATTGTCTAATTACATTCATGTACAGAAGGTACATGTGACACACACACTTCTACAATAAAATTCCCTCCATTAATCAAATCATAGCAAATAAGGAAGTTTTAATTAACTGAAATACATAGGAGTCCAAGATACTCTGTGTTTGCTGATTTTTCACTTCATAAAAATACATTATTTATTGCATATCAGTATAAACTTTTCTTTTTCCATTAAAGTGTGTTATTTTCCTAGACTAATACCCAGTTCTGTCTTAAGGTTTCCTTAAACACTCTCTGAGTGACACACTTAATCAGATATTTGATGATACACTATATACCTCTTGATTTAAGTTTATCAGGGATTTGATGATACACTATATACCTCTTGATTTAAGTTTATCGGGGATTTGATGATACAATATATACATGTACCTCTTTACTCCTTTTTCAGCTGCATCAGCAAATCTTCTGACATCATCATAATCCCTGTCCAGGGGACCAGTGGGGGCAAAGATCTAGATTCAACAAATACATCTACATCAGCATAACCTCATTTGGAACAGAAAATGTATGTAACAACCCCATAGATCACAAATAATGTGAATAAAGCTACTGCAATAGTTCTATGGGGAATGGTAAAGAAATCTACACGTACCGGTATATTATCGCCATGCAAAAAAACAAGAAAATACATGTACATATTAGACAATTAATTAAGGTGATATTCTATCAATATTCAGCTGCAAGAGCTTAAATTCAACTAATGAGTAAAGTATACATATGTACACAAGTAAGAAATTTTAAAAATAATTTATCATAGCTAAATGTATTGTAGTAAAAGTGGAATTCATATACATATGATTTTTTGGAAAACCATAGACTTCCCAAAATTATTGAGAACATAAAAAATACATGTATTTGGAGTTGTTGAGGAAAATCAAACAAGAAGTTGACAATATAACGTTGCGTAATGAGGACCTTTACTGGTGAGTCATGAGATAATTCACTTGAGCCATGTATTACTTAATAACTGAAAAATATGAACATTTAGCTTACCAGTCTTTTGGAGGGAACAGCATCTGTGTGGATCAATACCACCTCTTTAGTGTAAGCAGAGTCAATCTGTATGAAATCTCATTAGTTTGTAAATGAAATATGTTTAACAGGTACACCACAATCTCTTGATTTAGCTATATAGCTTGAAATAGCTATAAAGCTTTATTAAGCTATTCAAATAGCTTGATTTAGGTATTTTGTCATACTTTTTTCTTCAATGTGCATTTTTTCAGCATGTTAAAAAAGTCGTACTTTGGTGCAATGATAGTTTTAAACTTTGTATTGTTCTGAAAACAATGCATGAAAAAATTGTTCATCAAAACACATCTCCTCAATAGATTTTGCATTCAAAGTTTTAAAAGTAGTTTGGGGCTATATAAAGCAATTGATTTGTGACCACACTAACTTAATCTTGAATGAAATTGTAAAGCTAGTCAATTCTGGTCAACAAGATAATTGATTGGTAATAATTCAACAAAATGTGAAGCATTCATACTTATCCATGCCTCACCACACACAAGGTGGTATACATTTACCCAAACACTGGAGTACGTCTTTTGCATAAAAGTGTTCAAAAGCAGCAATGTATAAACTAGCTATCTTTTATTTGGAATGTTTTTTTTATTAGTCCAGAGTATAACATTCTTTCCACTTTTCGTCTATTTTTTATAAGATCATATTTGTGAAAACTCTATTCAAATAATTTTATCAAGCTGTTCCGAATATCTTGATAAAGCTATATAGCTATTTCAAGCTATAGCTACATGTAATTCAAGATATGGTGCTGGACCTGTTCAACATATTAAATTCAAAAATAAGAAGAAAATTGGTGGGGATTTTATAAATATTCATTGACTCATTTACTAACTTTTGCATAGTTCTGTACTGCTTCGGCCACTGCGTTCAACTGATTGTCCAGCAATTTTTGGACGGTGTCTGTAACCACCACCACCCCATCATACTGTGGGTCATTTATGTCTAGACATGGGAGAAGTTCTGGTAATCTACAATGTTTAATGAGAACAGCTGAGTTATGTAAATCTGAGCAAAGAAAACGTGATCAAGCATGTATTAAATAAATTTTAACCTCGACAAATGGAAATTCCTATAGTTTCACAACTTAGTCGGTTCTACTTTCACTTTGACTTCTTGCATTTCATTAACCGACTTATCATTCAATATATGAAAACAATGACAAAACACGAGTTATTTTTTGAAAAATATGCACAACTAAAATAAAATAAATTACCCATTTTTCGCCGACATTTTACTCTTCGTCAGCTGCAAGAAGTGGGGACGTTAGTGCTGTCACCTGACTTTGATAAGGAGGAATAATGTACTCGGAGCTCCTCGCATGGCTCGCTGTGAAGAATAGCGGAGTCAACCGAGGATTGCCGATTAGGCCTAGGTAATTTTAGTTCTTATGAATGGCCGAGTCAAAACGGCTGATTGTCGATAATATCTGCCGCTCCCGTCTATTGCTGAAAATATCTCAACAACAATTGAGCATAAGATATTCGCAAAATTTGAAATAATACTAGACAATAACCCGTGCCAGAATCAGTATTGGCAAACAGTAAAACTACAGACAAAAACATATGAGATCCTCTGACAAACATCCAGACAGAAAGGATTATTGGCATTCTATTTTTTTTTTTTTGTTTACAACCGACACAGGGTGCTTTAGGACGCCCGCACTAACTAACTAACTAACTAACTAACTGTTGAACCATACATCAACAAAATACACAGTAAATCATTAATTAATTAATAGCAGAGACATAAATAACATGTTAATGAAAACTTCAAAACATTATTAGTTGCACATCTACAGGACACCATCATTCTAAATGGAAAAGGAGTTCTCGGACCATGGTTTGTGTAGAAAAATATCATTTTTACCCCCTGAAACATTGCTCATCTACAGAACACAACCAATCACATTCCAAAAACTATGTTTGAATTATAAGTTCTATAGGAACATTGTTTTCATAGAAAAACATCTTTTTTCAACTCAAAATTTACTCAAAGGATGAAATGAAAATTCCAAAAACCTTATTGTAAAGGACACCACCAATGGTATTCCAAAACACTGGCAGATTTAGAGGGGGCAGGGTGTCTTGATCCCCCTTTTGTGACCCAAATTTTAGTAAAGATGAATAAATCCTTTTATTTTGGTTGTTAAGTACTGCTTTTATATGCATAAAAGATAGCTTAAATAATTCACAAAACTGTTTTCAAAGACTTAAAACCTGGGAGCTTCCAGGGCTTCGCACCTAGGCCCCAACCAAGGATTTGCTCCCAACCCAAGCCCGTTGCCCCCCCCCCCCTTCTCCAGAAAGAGCGGGTATATAACTATTCATGTACTGTTTTAGCTCATATGTAGAGTATACTTAGTCCTAGTCTTATGCGGAAATAATGAAATCAGCGGAAGCATTTTAAAATAGGGCATTCAAAACTTTAAATTTTTTTCATTATATTGTATAGTGAGTATACATGCTAAGTAATAACGCTTGTGAATTTATTAATCTATCTCTCTTTTTTTTCCCATTTCTAGTTTAAAAAAAGAAATTAATGTAAATTATTATGAATTATTTCATCATGATTGTAAATCATTGTCAATTCTTAACATTTGTAACCTTGACCTTCTTGGAGAGGACTTATATAGGCCATGCCTGATGTCCAATCCAAATATTTAAACTGACTTTACGTAATAAAATACTGATTAAATTAAAACTTTAAATATCATGACGCTGTTTTACAAAAGAACTTATACGAATAAGATCCAAATTCATTTTTCCAATTTATTTTATTTTTTTATATAGATTAACTTGTGACTTTTATGAGAATTAGAAGTTATCAGTTAGGCTGGCTGAAATTAATTCTACGTTTAACATCACATAAAAACTTCAAAACCTATGAGGGAGGGAGAAAAAAATAAACAAACAAAATTTTTTAAACAAATGAGTATTTACTCATTTACATGAATCAAAATACTGTAAATATTTGTGCATCATGTAGGCTTATTGTGTAATGATAATTTTTAGTAAATCTGTCAGTATAAATGATAGAACATCTCAAATTACCCTCATACAGGGTCCAAATGTTGTCTTTTCCTATGGAATGCAATTTTCAGTTGCTAAAAGTTAAATGCAATACAATCTTAAAAAAATGCCGATTCGTTTGTTTTTTCAAAGTGCAAACTTCTCCAAAACCTACGCGCGAGGGTGACGTTAAACATAGAATTAACTTTGGACAGCCTTGTGTATAAGTACTCATATGCAAATATTATCTTAAAAAAAAAGAAAGAAAGAAAAAGAAAGAAATTGGTGAGATTCTTAACTACCTAACATTTTAGCATGTCCTTTTGTAAAACAGAGCTATAAAATTACATATGTGCAATTAGAAGTGACCCAGAAAAAATTATTAATAGCTGTTAATATACAATTTGCTGTTTTAAGTTCCCCCTAAAAATATTGTGGTTTTATCAACCAGTAAGAGAAAATTACTGTAGTTTTATGGTATTAACAACGAACCAGTGAACATTTAGATATATTTGTGATAATATCAATTCATATGTTTTGATCAGAAGTCAATTGCCCAATGTCTATTTTTACACAAATCTTCAACTTTCACTTTCGCTATAATGTAAATAGTGAGGACGCAATTCGTAGAAAATTCGCATTCATTGACATACAAATAAATCAATGACCTGATAAGAGCTGTCATCTGACCATATCTTGGTTTTCGTAACTTCTCGGGACAAATCGACTCTGTGAACAATATGCGCTTTATCCAGTTTGAGAGGGGCGGAGTGAGACAGGTCGGGGTGGAGGTACGCGATGGAGGGGACATCGTGGATTTACGTGCAGGAGACTCCGAAATTCCATCAGACATGCGGAGTTTTATCGAAGGTGGACAGAAGAACTTACTTGCAGCAAAAAGGTAGGCTCCTTGCTCCTTCAAGCGAAGCATATAGTATCTGGTTAAGAGTGGCGGATCCAAAAAATGTTCATTTGCTGTTGTGTACTTCAACTTCAACTTGGATACTTGCAAAAATCAAATAAGGACATTTACTAGCGAGGACTATGTACATGCGTGCAGTGGAATGTCCAAATGTAAAAAAAGGCTAATGTATAATGTTTCAAACTATTATTGAAACTTTTTGAGAGAGAGAGAGAGATAGAGAGAGAGACCTCCTGAAGTCTGAATATAGTTGATAATGTTCGATAGCCCTTGAATGTATAAAATCTTTATAGGGTTATAGTTGTTGACCTTTTGATTTAAATATAGGTACAAAATTCGATTATTCAAAGAATGTTACACGTTTGAATAGAATTTTCTTAATTCAAATTTTTGTGGAAGTCCAAATGATATCGTTTCTATAAGAATAATATTCGTAATACTTGTTCACAGCGTAATAGACAGAGGTGGATCAATCATTCCGAGGGATTCTGTCAAAGTCGTAGCCCCTATTTATAACCCAGACAAAGTACTATGTGTAGGGATGAACTACATAGATCACTGCGAGGAACAGAACGCACCTGTCCCTATAGAACCGGTCATCTTCAACAAATTCCCCAGCAGTATCATAGGCCCCACGGAGGATCTGGTGTATCCCGAGGAGACAGAGGTCAGAATTTATTTCAATTCAACATACTTAAATATAGAAATAACACCCATTTAATGCTAGTAAAGAAAATCCGTGGTCAGGGGGTTGGCTATCCTACAGGAGATATGAAAAATAATAATACGAGATTTTCTTCTTTTTTTCTAGTGTAGTATCATGCGGTTAATTTTTTAGTTAACCTCCATCCCGTAAATTCAAACTTAACAACATGATAGTAATTTAATATGTTTCACCGGGCATATTTACAGGTACACAAGATTTCTCAGTATGTTATGTGCGTAAAAAATGTTTCTTAAGAAAAACAATGTCCACGGACGAGAGATCTAATCAAATAAATCAAGCGTTAAAAAAATATTATTCATATCCTGAATTTTTATTATGGGAAAAGGGGGGGGGGTTATACTTCACACTTTCGGACAAGGGAGATAACTCAAGTACAAGTTTCATGTCAGTCGAAATGAATCTTGGATTTCAATTGGCACAGTAATGCGTTTCCTGTAAGTTCCTATTGGTGAAAATTATACATTGGAATATTAATTCTGTAAGATAAATTATTTTGTCACTTAATAAAGGAAATTAATTTTTCAGAAGTTGGACTGGGAAGTGGAGCTGACAATTGTTATTGGAAAAGAAGCCAAGCGTGTTCAGGTACCCTCTACAGATCCTGTAGCTCTATTTATAAATTGTCAACCTACATGGCATTTTAAAAATATAATGAAAACCCTTGCAGGAAAAAGATGCCATGAATTACGTTTTTGGATATACCGTTGCACATGACGTCAGTGCACGTGACTGGCAGCTAGATCCTGGAAAGAATGGTGGGCAGTGGTTGATTGGAAAAGCCATGGATGGTTTCTGTCCCCTAGGACCCGCCATTGTGATGAAAGAGGATCTGAATGGTCAGTTTCAGTGCTATGGCAAATTACACAGGTGCTTGGGGACGGGAACCCCCCCCCCCTCCGTACCCTAAGTGTTCTTTGACTTTTTTAAGTAAAATATTTTTCTATGAATCATTCACAAAGTATTACAGCTGAAAAATCCAAAATATAACCTAAAACTAGCCTTTTGTAAATATTCACACTCTCTGATACTAAAACAGAGTGTGAATTTTTATAAACGGTTAGTTTTTAAAATTTGATCGTGATTTACTGACAGTGATATTGCATCTGTATTTTTGAAATACTCATGGATAACAAGAAAACGATCTTCGACTTATTATTTCTGGAACAGATCCTCATAATCTGGGACTGCGATGCAAGGTGAATGGCGTGACCAAGCAAGACAGCAACACAAATCAGCTGGTACACAAAACGGCTGCCATGGTAACATTTATATCTAGGTAAGCTTACTTATTCTTAAAACACTATACCTAAGGAAATTGTTGTCTGATTACTATTAATCACATTTTATTTGCGGGAACTGCATTTTGAAAAATTTAGCGAGATAATTTCGATGCTTTTAAACACGGTGTGAACTTTCATTCCATCAGAATATACTATTATTACATTACCACGAAAGCCTATAAAAGGCGTTATAATGAAAAGTGAAAAGGGGATATCACGTAAAAAGGGCATTAAAACAAGGCTTTATTTACTGTAATCACGCTAAATGAAAAGGCGTCATAACACGAAGTTAAAAGGCGTTTTATCTTTCACTCTTTTTTTTGCGTAAATTCACATTTCATTTCGCAGTATAAAGCCTTTTTGCGTTATAATTAATGCCTTTTCACTTCGCCTTATTACGCTTTTCTTCGAGTTATTACTTTTTCCCACAATGCATGCCTGTAGAACGCGGGGGGGGCCATGGGGGTCCCCCCTCCCACTTTTTGATGTTGTAAGGTCGAGTGCTGGCAAATTCTACAATCTGTACAGTAAATTAGCTTTTTTTTTTGGCTTGTCAGATAATTTTTGGAAGTGTTGCCCTCCTCTCCCCCCCCCCCCCCCCCCCCCAACTTTTGGTCAGTTAAGGGTTTCTTTTTTTTTTTTTTTTTTTTTGCTTGTCAGAATTTTTGGGAAGTTGCCCCCCCCCCCTTTTTGAAACCGTTGCTACGGGCCTGCAATAAACTTATAACGCCTTTCAAATGTGACTTTTCTACTTTACCAATATATATTCTTTGAAAGATGATTAGGTTTTTGCATGTAACCTATTGATCTTCTCTGATTTGATTTTTTTATTTTGATTTTGTATTGCCCAAGTATGTTTGAATGATAAATAGAACATGTGAATTCAAGTACTAAAGCTTTTTTTTTTGTTTATTTGTTGGTTTTTAGATTTATGACACTGAAACCAGGGGACCTAGTTTTAACGGGAACCCCACCTGGTGTTGGGGTATTTAGAAAACCTCCAGAATACCTAAAGGTGAACATTTTGTATGATAAAAGAAAGTATTTATGCTCAAGAAGCATAATCATGATATGGACGTCACTGAAACTTTGAAGCATATATTATTAAGGAGCTTCGTAGCAAGTTATCTGCAAAAGGAAGTAAAAAGATTCATAAATATGTTTAGAGTCACATTACGTACATCTGTGTATGTGACTGTATGGTTTTTTAGATTTACTGAGGGAGGAGAAAAATCTACGTTTTTTATTTCGTACATTTTATGATTTTTACCCTTACCCAGTAATATACAAATATTGCTGTTTTTGAGGTCAAATGATTTAGCCAACTGAGGGGTATACTATTCATCGAGCCCGAAGTGCTCGATATGGGTAAAATATTCATCGAGCTAGAAGGGCGAGATGAAAATTGTACTGCCAGGGTGGTTAAATCATCGTATTGACTGAAAAAACAGCAATAATTGTGTTATTAAATACACTGTAGTTCGATGATTTAAAGATACAAACTCGGAATTTACCATCTTTCTTGATTGTTTAAATTTGTTGAAGTCCTAGCCGAACGTATCGTCGGATACCCCGGGTGATCTCGTCTTTTACTCATCACCCGTGGGCAAACTCACCGAAAAATCGTCTAAGTACAATATTGTACTCCTCAGGTGGCTAAATCATCGTATTGACCTCAAAAAACAGCTTGTGATATACACACACTGTAGTTATCCTACTTGTATTTCCCCCTACTTCCAGTAAAAGCGAGGAACATTCTCTCTGTTTGCAACACTTCAGCTTCCGAATATTTCTAAAATTCCTTTAGCGTTAGCAATGAAATTTAATATCAAAACTCTCTTTGACTTAAAAAAGATTGCTATTAATTTTGAGCTCAATAGTCGAAGGTTTAAGTATAAAAAACTCATATATTGGATAAATTGGTTTCCAGACGAGAACTTCATGTGGATTGTAGTTCGTTCTCCTTGAACTTTTGCAATGAAACTTGAGCTGTAGATTCTAGCTTAAGAAAGACCTCTATTTATTTTGAGACCAAAAAGTGAAAGGTCATGGTCACAAATTCATATATATGATATGAAATTATACCCTTTACTATTCCGAATAAGATTTTTTAAAGTCCTTTTGCTTTTGCAATAAAACTTTATATCATCCCCGATGACCCCTATTGATTTTTAGGTTAAAAGGTTAAAGGCCAATTCAAAAATTCATATAGTGAATGAAATGGTTTTCAGATGATAACTTTAGTTGTCTTTGAGATAGTTCAGTAGAACTTATGATGATGAATCTAACTTAAGAAAGAACCCTAATGATTTGAGGCCAAAGGTTGAAAGGTGAAAGTCACAAATCCATATATGGTGTGATATGGTTTCTGGATTGATTTCATTTCTGTCTATAGCTAAAACATTACCCCTACTGCTTTTAAGGCGAAAGGGTAAAAGATCATGATCACAAACTTGTATAGTATCTAAATTTTAAGCTAGGGACATAATAGCTGCAGAACTGTAGCGTTATGGTTTTACATTTTAGTCTTTGACCATAACGCTACAGATCCCCTAATGTAAATAAAGTGCAATTTACGGCCCAAGATTTTCTGCTCACGAATGGGGATGCATTTCTCCACTTTCCAGCATTGGTCAATCAACTACCTTTCATTCCTTAATTCTAGAAATATTCTTTTACTAACCTGTATATTTTATTCACCTTCTAACCCTTAAAATGTCTTCTCTACAAACCAATAAATTCACTTGTTTTGAATTTTCTGTCTTTCGACAGCCAATTTGACTTACTGACGATATCTCGCTAAAGATGTCTGTATATACAACTATAAAGGGTTAAGAGGTGGGTAAAATATACAGGTTAGTAATAGAATATTTCTAGAATTAAGGAATGAAAGATAGTTGATTGACCAATGCTGGAAAGTGGAGAAATACATCCTAAATCGTGCGCCGTAAATTGCACTTTATTTACATTACGGGATCTGTAGCGTTATGATCAAAGGCTAAAATAAAAAACCATAACGCCACAGTTCTGCAGCTAGGGACATATATTCTCTGGATAAATTAATTCGTCAATAATTGTTTTAAGTATTTTGTATTACGCAGTGTTTCCCTAGTTATAGATTTCTGATGTAGAATATAAGGCATTTGAAATATTAAGCGGCACAAGAATGTAAATAAAAGCGTTAAGTCAATACCTATTTTTGCACTTCACCTTCCCCTAAATACACATATTATGTGCATACAAATTTCCATAACCAATAAGTACCAAGCTTTAATCAATATTTGGGTATGGGTGCACTGTATATGATTTATGAAACAATAAATTTTAAAAAATGTTCATGAAATGCTGCGTAAATGACTTGAGCAATCACCGAAAATGAATTTTTGATTGAAAATATTTATATTTTTCTTATCGGTTCACTAATAACGTATTAAGATTTCATTTATTTTTTTTTCCAGAGAGGTGACGTAGTGGAGTGTGAAATTGATGGCATCGGGAAAGTTGTCAACAAAGTAGTGTAGAGTTTTACTGTCAACAAAATAGTGTAGAGTTTTACTGTTAAAAAATAGTGTACAATTTTACTGTCCACAAAAATTGGTGTAGAATTTAACTCTTACCGATGATGGTTGATTTTGGTATTCTAAGAAAAATGATATGTAGCCTAATGTCCAGTCATGCAACCCAGAAACGTTTTGTATCAAAGAATGTGGAAATGGTCAACTGGGGATCTCTAGATTAGAAATTATAAGCAAATTATTTTATTTGATTGACATGGTAAACAAAATGAAATCTTACATCTAGTTTTGTAAGGGATATGAATTCTGCTTTCTTTCATGTGTAATATGACACAGCAAAATTCAGGTGCAATAAAGACTTTAAAAAGATAGTGTTTTGATTTGCCATTTTATGACCCAGCAGCGCAATTAAAGCTCACAAATTACATACCTACAAGACTTTAAAATAGTTGACATTGTATAGATCATTATCGGTCATTTAAATATTCTACAATGAAAAGGAGTATTAATGCCATATCATAATTATACATGTATATGTAACATCTACATGTATTTGTTAAAATATACACACGTTCCCACTTGGATTTCGATACTTAAAATACCCGTATGACATTCTGGAAGTTCAAAATGCTCTAATAATGAATTTGATTTAACAAAAATCTTGTAGTGAATGGGGTTCAGAATCCATGAATATCACATATAATGTTTTAAGCACCACTTTTCCTAATAATCCTATAAGAAAAATAACTTATTCAGTGGTTTTTACTTTTGATTCGTTGTTAAATGTATTCGAGTTCGTTTGTGTCGGATCTTCTAGAAATTTTCGACTATGTTTTGAGTCTGCAGATCCAGTTCTCAAACGTTCTGTAGATTCAGATCGGTAAAAGCGTTCTGTGGACGCGGATCGAATTCGATTGATCCTTCTTGTAAAGTTTATGTTTGTGGATTCCTCGACCCAGCGAATGAGTCGAGAATCGACTTTCGTGTCTTCGTGAATTCTAACTTTTTCTTTCTCACCGGAATTCAATGCGTCGTGGACACCTAGGTTATGTACGTTTAACATTGCCTGAGTTTCGTACTTTCTTCCAAATTTAGCTTGAGTTTGTTCCACAACATACGTATTTACACTAGGAATTATTTCTGAATCCTCTCGAAACAACTCTTTTCCAATATTATCTGGAAGTCGGTACGAAAACTTGACTTTTTTTTCTTCGGTGGGAATCGGCGATTTGTTCCCACTATGTGGTCTTGAGGCAGAAGATGTGGGACGTAATGGAGAGCCCACTCGTTGTCTAGCAGACGTGGGCGTTCTAGGGCGGGCGTGTAATTTTGAGGAAACAGATATTCTTGGTGCTAGAGGAGTGATATTCGTACGACTCTTCTTGTCCAACTGAAGAGGAACACGTCGGATTATGTAGTCTGATTCACGAACAGTACTGTTTGGGGCTAAATAACTATTTTGATTGTTGATTTTCAGACGTCTTTTGAATACTTGTAATGAAGTGTGAATTTGCGCCTGTCTTTGTGCTGCCTCGGTTCTGCGTAGTATTAACGGCACAGATTTATGAAGTCCAGAGGAAGATTTTATAGCATTGCCACGAACTTCGTATCCTGGGTTTTGATTTTCTGATACGTAAGCATTGCCGTCCTCCATCTTAAATCTAACTGTTTTAGCACTTGCTGTTCTTGGATCACTCTGAATCAAGTGTTCATCCCTGTGTGAAACGTCCCCAAAATCCAGCGCGGGGAAGCGATTTGCGCCCTTACTTCGTGTCTCTTTCAGCATTTTCAAATGAATTCTTTTCACTTTTTCATTTTGTTTGTCTTCTTTTGTCTTTATCGGTTCAATGGGAGCAATTCCTCCTTTCTTTTTTAGCTGATATATTATTGCAGAGTCATCGACATTCATATCGAGATTTTCATCAGTTTGTTCTTTTACCAGTTCAATGATGTGTTGTCGAAGTTCATTGGCTACATCTGTTCGCAAAGGACTGCGCATGCGTCCTTGACACTGGCTGTGTACAGTGGCTGGGGTGCACACACGTAACATGTTTTATTTCTTGGTACTTCCACTGCAAAGAACAAATTTTGGAAAATTACAACCTGCTCATGTTCCAGATTATTCATCAATAAACGAAACTCATGTTGTTGAAAGACTTTCCATAAAGCCCTATGTAATAAGGCTCCTGTCATACCCCTGTTATGTACTTTCTCTTTTATATCGCTCTGACAAGTAGGTAATAAACAAGTTAATCCGATCTAATTAAACCTTTTCTATCAAAGTAACACAGTTCTGTTTAATGCTCGAGAAATCAAATCCAGAGTTAAGAAATTTTAGACAAAGTTAATAGCGCTTTAAAAGAAATAATCAAAGGTGAAAAATCAGAATTTTTAATAAAAAAGATTTATTATGATTCGAAACATTTAGAAAGTAATTAATTTGTTAGTAAATATATGAAAACTACGTCTTACCCGAATTTACAGCAAATTCATAAACTACGTCATCTTAATAGATCATATTCCAAGACCTTGTATTCAAACCTTCAGTCTAAATTGATAACGAAACACAAAACGTCTTGGTTTGTAAAGATACACTCAAAACATATCTAGTTATAATCTCCAGATGGGTCAAACCATTTCACATATTACAATCCGTGGACTATACAGATTTAATATATCCCGTTAATTTAATTACTAAGGTTTGTCGTACACGAACGGTTTTCAAAGATTTAAATGCAGGTTTTGTTGATTATATTAAATAGCGGCTTTATCGTGCTGGTGAATCGCATATACGGAATTAAAGCTGGATTTGGAAAACATAAGTATTCGTCCTCAACCGGCAGAGTCACGCGCCTCTTGTAGATAACATTGTCCCCTTTTGTCAAGGAGGGATCCCGCCGACTTATATCTTGTCATTTTTTCCTCTACTTTTACGCGATTTTTGACAATTGTATTCAAATATTGCACTCCAGTGGTAGTGAAGGAAAGCTTTTTAACGCCAATTTTAAATACTTTCAAGGAAAGCATTTTGCTCAATGCATATTAAAATATATTCAAATGAAACTTTCTGTAAAGCTTTTATTTTAAAACTCCATTATACACTGAATATTCAAAAACCAAGTCTTTAGATAAGTTTGAGAAGGTTTTATGTTTCTTTTTAATGTAAGGAGTCTAACAGCCTTCTCAACCATTAAATGACATCTATTTATTCTGAAATGGCACCATTTTGTAGGAAATGTGTATTTCGAACTCAATGACATTATACTATGCATGGGTATCTTAAGAAAAGACAACAAAGAATTCCACTTTCTTTTTTGCTATATAGTTATTGCTTATTTTTGTCATTTTAGTGTTAAGTATTTTAAAAAAAAAGTTTTACTTACTGATGAAGAATTTCCGTGTTGAATTGAACTTAATTTTTTTTTTAGTTTTCTTTTATAGCTAAATCTGTCGATAATCCATAATGTTCGAGTGTACAATAAGCAGTATTGGATGTTAAACGGTGGGTGGATGCTTAATGAAGATATTTTGTCTTGATAGGTGTCAATTTCCGCGTCTTGATAAATTACAATTGTTTGATATTGTCTTTACTGGGTCACGTGATGTAGTTTTTGAAGTGACGTCATTGTACCTTTCTTGTTTTAAAACTCCTCGCTTTATCAGAAATCTATTCTTAGCAGGAGTACCTCTTTGCTCATTTGTAATCGGCGCATTGATAACCTTGGTTGACTGGCGATACCCCTGCAGAATTCGTCGTTTACATTAAGCTACATGCCACTTCTTGTCAGTTACAGTGGAGTCAAGGATTGCCAATTAGCTGAACAAAGTCATTGACAAGCTCTTAACATTACCAATTAATCTACCCTCCGAAACAGATTCAAGAATATATATATATATATATATATATATATATATATATATATATATATATATATATATATATATATATAGATAGATATAGATATATATATATATATATATATATATATATATATATATATGTAATGGAAACAATTTATGCCCATAATGCTGTATCTATTATTCTATTATTTTGTCTACAAATTAACAGTTATTGGTGTGGGTTTTTTTTTAACTTAAAAAATAACTGCGCAGTTATAAAAGAGGCAAACACAAACTTAAAAGTTATCCAAAAGTGCCCATAGTGGACTCTGCATAGGTCATTGACCATATTCTGCTAATAATTACAATACCAATGGGTCAGTCTTATGAAATATATATACTGGCTGATCTAATGATGACGATCGCAGGAAACAAGTAGTACATGTATGTGTCGTGTTTTCTACCGGTTGTCTTAAAAATCTAGGCTAACTTTTACTGCATTGCTGATCAGCATTATATAATCTGTATATTTTATTTATTTAATAGAAGTAAATTGTAATTTAGGATATGTTCTCTCTTAATTATTTTTGATGCCTTGTTTTTAATTCGATTCTACTCGTTGTGCTATATTTTATTTAATTTGTAAGAAATGTATATAGGCTTACTCATTATATATATATGTATGAACTCCTTTCTCTTGAACAATCGTGATGACACCCACAAAAGTTTGAGTAACTCGTTCTCCCAAACAAGAGAGATTTGGAGGATGGTAAGATTAAGAAGGATATGAATTTTACCGATTTACAGTCATGGCATCTGGCAACAACATCAGTCGAGAATTGAAAGTTGGAAATATTTACATGTGCATTAAATTTTGTTCTTTTCGATAAAGGAAGAAGAATTCTTAAGAAAATCGTGGGAAAGCTGGCCAAGCTCAAACAGAGCACTATACAAATTGCTCAATTTTTTTTTTTAAATTTTTTTTTGGTGGGGGGGGGTGTAATTAACAGATTTGAGTTACTCATATGCAAAAACGTTTATGGTTACGCCCCCCCCCCCCGAATTCTAATAAAGAAAAAATATGAATTGGGAGATTTTAACTTCTAATGAGATTTTGGGGGGGGGGGGGGGTTCAGATAATCCATATAAATGTTTACCAGTATCCTTATAAAATTTTCGAGTAATGTTGGAATAATTTCATATTCTGTGGATAAATGAATCGTGAACATTTGAAGTTTACAGAAACTGAACACAACCCCTCAACCCCCCTCCCCCACCCCCACCCCCCAAAAAGGTAATTCTTTTTGTCAGGCGGTCGATCTTTTCAGAACAAGTTTCACGGCGAACAATACTTTTTACCCCAATCCACCTTCGCCTCCCGCCAGCCGATTTAATGGAATTTAGTGGGAACGCAAAAACATTGGAAAGAAGTTATTTTAACTTTCTCCTTCTCCCGTCTGTCTGTCTATCTACTTTTCTGCAAAATATCTTACATAATGGTTAATTAATTCGATGAAATTTTAGGAAGTGAAGAATCGATCATATTTAGAGGCGGATCCAGTCAAAGATACGGATAATGGAATCTCTCTCTCTCTCAAATGTACAAGACAGGATGTAAAGCAGATGCAGGATTTATCATTTTTTAAAATTATATATATATCAATTATTCAAAAGGTACATCGTACAACATATCACGTTTTTGATATGAAAAGAAAGATAACTCTACTTTGCATACTTTGATTTCGGGTTTGCTTTCTGTGTGCAGGGGACGTTACTTATTTAAGATAAAGTTATTATTCCTAAAGTCTTTTTGGAATAATTTTCGTACGAGGGTTGATCCAGAAGTATTGTCACAACTGCTATAAAATCTTTAATAATCGAAACTTTTCGGTAAAACTTTATACGTTATTATCTCTATCGCTTTTGACTTTTACCCTTAAATTCATTTACATGCAATACTTTATAAAATATTAAAATACATTCAACATTGGGTCTCATCTATCTCCGCACGGCAAGAATCCCATGTCGTTATGAAGTTTCTCTTCGACACTCATTTTGAATCTTACGTGAACATTTACAAGATTTACTCAAAAAGAAATGAAGTTGGAAAAACATTTGGATAAAGTTCAAATAGTTGTAATACTACAACACAACCCAAAAAACAAGACGATTTACAGAAAATGGCAGTAATGATTATTAAAAAGAAGCACTTGAGAGGTTAAAAAGATTTGCGGATGAACTAAAAGTAACGTCATACAGGCGCGGATCTAGGAATTTTTTCCAGGGTCCACAACCTGACAAATGGAGGGGGGTAGACGCTCCATTTCACTTCTTTAGCTTCACATGTATGACTTTTCCTACCAACTTAACAGGGGTCCGCGTTTTCGGAGGGGGGGGGGTTCCAAGGTCATTTTAGTTGCTTTACTATATACATTTGATAACTCTGCAAATTCCAAGGAGGGGAGTCGGACCCCCCCCCCCCTTCTAGATCCGCGCATGTCATAACGACGTCGGTAAACATTCTTGCCATGCGGCGAAAGACAAGACCTAATGTTTGATTATCTTAATATTTGAAAAAAATATTTTATATCATCGAATGAAATGTAAAGTGAAAGATTAAAATAAATAGGGTTATAAGTACGTCAAATTTCGTTGATAACATTTGATTAGTAAAGATTTTATAGCAGTTGTTTATATATATATATATATATATATATATATATATATATATATATATATATATATATATATATATATATATATATATATATATATATATATAGGGATTAAGATTTTACTCTTTATTAATTTAATTAATGATAGGCGTCAAGCGGCACGAAGTGTTTTCCAAGAGGTTTCTTTGAGAACAAATGAAATATACACAAGACACTGGTAGCACTAATCGGTTAATAATAAAGACGCGTGGACATTTCACACTTCATTCAAGTCGGATTTGAGATTGAATTTTAAATTAGTTTTAAAATCAGTGCTAAAATCAATTTGCTTATTGAAGCTTTTTTTAAAGAAAAAGTTGCCAATTTTAATCCATAATAAGGATTACATGTAGACATTTAAAGATTCAGAATTTTAAAAAAAAATTCTACCCGTACATAATTTTACTTCATAGTTCATTGAATTTTGAACACACAACGCTACAAGGACATTGAAATTCATATTAGGCCATCCAAACCTTTCAACTTCTATATGAATTTCACAGGTATTCAATGAACAAAACGTAAAACCGGAGATAGTACATGTATTTGTTTTTAACACAGTCTTAACATCATTCAATCTCTACGATTAGCCCAACTCTTTAAAATATTTTGTACCCTATAAAATGAGTGAAGGCGACCAGGTCCAGACACACAAATATAATCGTTCCTGTCTTTATTTTCGGGGGCATATAATTTTTGATCTGTCCGTCCGTCTATCTCTCTGTTTATCGGTCTGTTTGTCCCCAAAAACTTAAACATTGAGCGCATATGGTTTTTGGTGTCCCTCTGTCCCCAAAAACTTTAACTTTGGCCATAACTTTTGAAGAGTTAGGGCTTTTATATTGCATAACTGTATTCCTTGTATCAAGACTTTTCGTTGGGTACCAGCATTTCTGACCTCTTGACCTTGGGGTTTGACCTACTTTTGTCCTACTTTTAAAAAAACCTTAAATTTTGTTCATAACTTTTGAACTTGGTGCTAGGGCTTTCATATTTCACATGTGTATGTCTTGTAACAAGACCTTTCTTTGGGTACGAACAGTTTTGAACTCTTGACCTTGGAGTATGATCGACTTTTGGAAAAAAAAAAAACTTTCACCTTGGCCATAACTTTTAAACTGTTGATGCTAGGACTTTCATATTTAACGTGTTTTCTTGGGACAAAGCATATTTGAGGTACCAATTTTTTTTTGGGGACCTCATGACCTTGACCTTGGATTTTGACCTACTTTTAAACCCACCTTTATTGGATACCAACATTTCTGACCTTGGTGTTTGACCTACTTTTGTAAAACTTTTAACGTGGCCATAACTTTTCAACGGTTAATGTTTGGGCTTTCATATTTCAATTGTGTACTCTTTGTAACAAGACCTTTCTTTTGGTACTAACGGTTTTGATCTTTTGACCTTGGAATTTGACCTACTTTTGGGAAAAACTTTAACCTTGGCCATTACTTTTGAACTGTTGATGCTAGGGCTTTCATATTTAACATGTGTTTTTTTTCTTGGAACATACCTTTTTTTGGTACCAACTTCTTGAACCTCATGACATTGACCTTGGATTTTGACCTTCTTTTAAAGAAAACTTTAACCTTGGTCATAACCTTTAAATGGTTATTGCTAGGGCTTTTACATTTATGTATTAACAGTTTTGGCTACTTGACCTTGACCTTTGAGTGTGACTTACTTTTGTAAAACTTGTACTTTAGCCATAATTTTGGAATGGTTGGTGCTAGGGCTATCATAATTCACTTATGTATTATTTGTGACAAGCCCTTTTATTGAATACCAACATTTATAACCTTGACCTTAGTGTTTGACATACTTTTGTAAAACTTTTCACGTGGTCATAACTTTTCAACAGTTGGTGCTAGGGCTTGCATATTTCACTTGTGTATTCTTTGTGACAAGACCTTTCTTTTGATACTAACACTTTTGACCTTTTGACCTTGGAATTTGACCTACTTTAGGGGAAAACTTTAACCTTGGCCACTACTTTTAAACTCACTGTGCTAGACCTTTCATATTTAAAATGTGTATTTTTAGGGAGAAACCTTTTTTTGAGGTACCTATCTTTTGGACCTCATGACCTTGGATTTTAACTTACTTCTAAAAAAAACCCATTTACATTGGACATTACCATTAAATGGTTAAGGCTATGGCTTTTATATTCCATATTTGTATTCCTTGGAACAAGACCTGTCTTAGGGTATTAACATTTTTTGGTCTCTTGACCTTGTATTCCTTGTGTCAAGATCTTTCATTGGATAACAATATTCTGACCTTGATATTAATGTTCAAAATATATCACAAGAATTAGTACTCCAAAACACAATTTTTAGGAATCGGCAATAAACTCGACATATTTAAATCCACCACCAGCTCTACAGCCATCTCCCAGGAGGACTATTATAAAGTCAATTGATTTTTATTAAAAACTTTGAAAGCATTTAAAGCAGTGGAAGCTATACAAACTCCTTGTTTCATAATAAGAGACATTATCATAATAATTGCTTTTTTTGTAACTGTAGAAAAGTATTTAACATGTTCAACTAAACGGCCAAAGCACGCTTTCAGAGCCTTAGATACACACGAATGGGATTTGAAAATAATTTATAAGAAAAAATTGATATCATAATTCGTAGATAAATTGATAGTATATCTCTTTAGCTTATGTCGGTCAATAATTGTATGCTTTTCTCTCTGTGAAATTTTCATGTTGTCAATATGGCTGTATGTAAAGTTAATAACAGTGTTGACTTGTGGTTACGATACAGAGTCACGCACCATATGTTCTTAAAACCCCCTATAGCAGTGCGAACTTGAATTTTAAATCTTATCGTTTCAATTGACGATAAGTAATTCAAAAATAAGAATGGAACGTGTAAAGATTTCCTAATTCAATCCGATAGTTTACAGGCCATACAAAAGACGACCAAACAAGGGTACCCCGCTCCGATTTCACACCAGAGCCAACGGTCTTGGATAATTTTTACAAGGTTGATTTTATGTAGCAGTAAGAAGCTATATTAGGAAGGAATCAAAAGAGGTCTCGAAGATAAGAATCTTGAGAATTCTGGGATGTTAACCTGCGGGTCACCGGTACCTATATTTAATTGTGTGATCACCGGTACCTATATTTGATTGTGTGAATGTCAACAGAATAACGTACCGAATATGTAGTTAGTGACACAATATGAAAACAGCTGAACGTCGGGACATTGAATTGTTTCTTGATTATGTAATTTTGCCTTTGGCGGCTTTTTAAATTGGAAAATAAGGAAGTTTTCCAGAAGAATCTTTAGTGACATATATTAATTTTTTCATGCATAAGTTACAAGCAAATCTAGGCGAACACCTCTCAGTGATTTTATTGGAAACAACATTTTTCCCCATGAACCATCATCAATGGTTACAGACAAACTGTGAAGGAATCGACGAAAGGTAATAACTATATCTAGCTAATTTTCCATTGAGTATATACCCATATGTCCATGTAATTCAGGAATTATCAATTATTCATAGATATATGTTGTATTTTATTTACACTAACACGTCTCCTGGTATTGTTTATGTATGGAAACTACATATATCTCTTCATGTATACTCGTAATTCCTTGAAGTGCGCTCTTAATAAAAAAAAAAGTCAAAATTTACGAAATGTTAAATTCGAAAACCTTTTATATTTATCGAGGCATGTAAGAATCTTTTCCAGTTTGTATTTGGGGTAGGTATTCAGATTTGGGGGCGCAGTCCGAGATTTAGGGGGAGCAGTACATGTATATGTGTATATCTAAATAACATAATAATAGTAATTCAATATTTCTCCAATGCAGTGGAGGGTTTAAGGTTTTCATTTTAAAAAATGCCAGAACCTACTAAACCGAAGGTTAAAAATTCTATTTTTGTGGAGACCGGGCGGACTTTTCTTCTTGCTCATTAAGTCGACAAAAATACTCACACCCCACCCCTCCATTTTTCAAGTTTATACGGTCATGATTGATTTTATTTACAATCCATTAAGTCTTAATATATACATAAATTCAAAAAATTGCACCATAAAATTGTTCTTAAAAAATTGTCAAGGATCCAGAAAGGATTTTTTTTTTCATGTGAGAGCCTGTTTGGGTTAATCTGTTCATTGATAAGTACTTAAGAGTAGTCCCAGACTTATGTAGCGACAGCTTTCAATCTCTGTTGTCTTTTCAACATGAGCTCGATAATGATTTTCAATTGAAGACAAACCAGATATCACGCGTTTTAATAACCATTTAAATTCCAGAGAAAATACAAGTGATTTAAAGAGACCGGAATAAAGTTCATACGATTTAAGAGTAGATTAAACGTGTGTTGAAGTCAATCTGAGAGGGTATAAGATATATTTATGACTGTACTTTTTGTCGTGAAAACGAAATTAGATATTGTAACAAGGATAAGATTTACTTTCATTGACAACCTTTTAAATTGCTCGTTGAATCGTATCTGAAAAAAATGTAATTGAAACGATACACGCGGGAAATCCGTACAAATTTTGAATTATTAACAAATATCGATCACAAAAGAATTAAACTACACTGCACTTAAAATATAAACATATATACAGCAATAAAGCAGGAACAAATAGCCATACGGAATTAATGTTCAGAACTATGGAGACAGAACATTTACTAATTTGTACTTTATAAAAATATAATTTAAAAAAAAATCAAATTTAAAGTATTAGAGGATATCCCAAAATTTCATCTGAAAAGATGTCTTAAAATTTCAAAAAGAAGATTTTTTTTGTATGGACGATGTGATATATATTTTTAGCATTTATAATTTTTTTTTTCAGAGTAACATTTTCATAATTTTTCAGATTTGAAATTTACCAATCTATTTTTGGTTACTTAAATTGAATAAGACTTTTTTTTTTTAATTTAATGGTAAACAGTCGAGTATTCTTTACACTTTGAAATTTTGCCTTAATTAGAAAATAAAAGATCAAGTGTTTTGGTGTTTCATTTACATTATTATACCATTTTCATATACTGATGATTCAAGTGTCTGCGATTCTGTCCCAACTATATATTGTTCCAAACATCAGACAACTCATATTCATCGATAATATCACATACAAACAGTATATCTCCGAAATAGTTTCACCCTTCGCAAAGTGATTGTAGAAATACATGTAAGCAATAACAACTGTTTTCATTTTCTTTTATAAGATAAGCAACACAGCGGATACCACATACTATATACAAACATTTTAACTACGACGGGAAAAGTGTATAGTTTCCCCAAAATACCACTAAACCGAAAACTATGAATTCTAGAATTATAAAGATAGTTGCTTCAGAAAACAAAGTCTAGCATCCTGCACGTTAGCATTTGTAATTGTGTCATCTGGAAGAAGTCTTCAATTAAGTAATTGTCATTTCAACTTCAAGACACTTAACCAAACATTTAATCTGAGAATACATTATGTAACATTTACATTATGTAACATTTTTACATTAAAAAAAAAAGAAAAAGAAATAAAGCACTTACCATAAAAGGCCATTTTGTACATTTTCTCCACCCAAGAAAGCCTAATGTTTTCATGATACAGTAAACAAGCTAAGATATATCCTAATGAAATTAATTATTTAGGTAAACTGGTGCTCTGTCCTAAGATCGATCGGATGGCGCCTGGACCACTAGGCCCTACTGCGCAATCAATAACAAGTTAACCGTAGTCACAGCAAGTTTGTGAAACGACAGGCGTCAAATTGCGCAAAAAATCTATTGCTTGAATATTCTATCAATCTTCAACCAATGCAACAAAGAGTATGAAAAAAAATCCGATTCCTTTGTTTATTTTCCTTTGATAACAAGATTGGTCACACGAAATATATGTTATTATTTTCATTTTTGATCAAAGAGTCCCAAGAGGTGTATGATTATATAGAATTCTGAAGAAAAAACAGTAACAGCAACGTACAAAACATGTCAATGAAATATATTTTTATAATTTCTTTGATTTCTGAACCATTACTTTTGGGGGTCCCTAGTTTGTGTATCCACTGGGAGCAATTGGTTTTTATTGATAAACTTCCAAATTACACTCTACAAAACAAAAACATTATTACTACCATTAAGCGCATTGTTACTTTTGTGGTAAAGTTTAATCAATTAATTAAACCATTTAAATAACTAACTTTTCAAGCATTCGATCTTACTTGTTTAATCCCTAAACACGTATACATCTAAATTTATGTTTTTCTAACCCTTGAAGAAATTGGGAGAATGGCCGATCTTTCTATGTATCTGTAAGTATCTATAGCTGAATTTCTTACAAACATTGTTGCTAACCACTAGTGATGTTCTACTCTTGATGATCGTTAACGACACGATTTATTCTTTCTATACCAGTACGTTTCTTACCATATCGAAATATAATAGAAATGTAGAAATGGGAACACTCTGGAACCGTATATATACATATAATATGTGTGTGTGAAATACATACACGTATGCTTACAACCCTAAATAAATAAGAATATTTCGTTCTTGCTCACTGCTCAGCATGAAGTATATTTATGCTGGTATTGAAAATACATCATTTGAATAGTATTAATTTTTTCTTAAGCCATTTTTTTTGTTATTGGATTATTGGTTCTCGACTGTACACTTCTCATGATTCAGAAAGCCCAGTCAGAAAATATAAAACAAATCATTATAAAACAAGATTGACATTGGTGTTATGTATTGATCGGTGCCTATAATGTTTTGAATGTTCAATTCTTCACGTAATTATCATGATCTGCACTCTATTCAAAGGGACTTTAGCTTCTGATTTTTAATACCCAGGATTTGGAAAAACCTATAATCATACATTATCATACGTATTTTTTTATTTACTCAGGAATTCTAGAAAGGGAGGGACTTAATATTCAACCCGACTTTGGAATTTAAAGGATCATCGGTATAACAAAACTTACGTAGTGGATTACCGAGCGTTAATCTTGGGTTTCTAAAGGATCAGAGTCACTATTGCATGTTTGCCTGGAAGCTTGGACTATTTGATTCTGTGGCAAGTTTACCAATAACACTGCCAGAGATCTGGATAAATGTTTACACGAGACTCAAATCTCTAAATTCATACAAACCTAAATCCCTGGAATTGATCCCACGTACATAATTTTAATGTTAGAGCTTCGACATGCTAGTCAGATGTTAGTAATGGACACTTTAGTTGGACTAAAAATGTGAATGATCTATCGATTGTTCATTTCCGTTTGAATTTTTTTACTTAAAAACGGCCAAAGAATGGGGCCGCTAATTGGTTCGTACCGTGAGGACGATAAAGAGACTATAAGTTTACCCCGAACTCCGCATTCTAGGCGAACCAGAACAACAGACGACGGTCTGATGGCATTCGACTCATCTTCCGAATTCAGCTTCGATGACAACCTTACGGACGAGGGGCGTTTGTCTCGATCTTTACAGTCATGGATGCCCGATTACACCATTGTGCCCATCGAGCCGATGGTTAAACCTCCCAAACAACCAGTGTACTCGGGTCGACTTGGAAAAAAATTGTCTTTGAAGCGAATTCCGAGTGATGAGTCGATAGCAACTAAATTGTCCTTGCTTTCATGTTCAACAAGAGATGTATCACCCGAAGAACGCTCAAGTACCGCCACAAAACGGCGGCGTAAAAAGAAAAACTTAAGCTCTAGGGCTCCGTCTGCTGCAGAAAAGGTCGTATCAAAATGGGAAGAGTTCGCAAGGCAACGTGCCAAAGGTGCTCTGGATAAATTTTCGAAAACCCACAATGCGATGAGAATGGACGTTGTTCAACGATTTGAAGATGACGAAAGTGAAGCATTTCGTATGATGGATAAAGATGAAAAGAAGATGTTGATTTCAGTAGGAATAATAAGGAGTCGACTGTTTGCAGGACAACTTAAAAAGACTCCCAGTTTAAGTGATGTGAGGGATTCATTCACTCCTTCACAACCTAGACATGTTCAAAGAGCTTTATCGGTTGGTGCTAAACCTCGAAGTCGTGGCATTAATTTGGAGGAAATCAGAGAACAAAGAATGCGAGAAAAGATAGCCCTGATGCAACAAAGACAACGTTCTCGAGGGGGAAGACGCTCTTTTCTCTCTCATCGTCAGCTGACTCGAACAACACTAACATCTAGCGCGGGATCAGTGGCACCAGCGACGCCTTCACCTCGATCTGGTTCTCCGGTCAATCAGGAAGAGAAAGTATCTGTATGGAAGGGAGACAGACAAATCTTGGAGATGGATTTAAGACGTGGTTTGACAAAACGTGTTCAGAAAAAGATCATGTCTACCACTATGGCAATTAATTTAGTGACGGGTTACGGAGAATCGAACGAACGGCAGACAGTGATTGGTCGACATGAGGAGTTTCCTTCCTACGTGGAGGAGGATTATTGTAATGTGCCAAAAATAGTACAGCGAATTCGCATTACGCCCGATCTTAGCCTCGTCATCAAGGACGATATACGCGTTCGAATGGGTCGACCGCGTTATCATGAAATAAGGATTAAGGATTTAGAAATGTGGAATAGAGGACAAGTATTGAACAGATCACATAGAAACCTTAAAGTGTTCAACTGGCTTCACAGTCTAAAGGAAAGTGATTTTGATAAAGACATAGAACCCTACATTGATGATAGCGTTCCTGCTTCCCCTGATGACGTAGATGTTTTACACGTGGAAGCGGCGGACGAACCCGATATTAAACCTCTATACATGAAAAAATTCAATATGAAAGGTTCTAAAAAGAAAAGTTTGAGAAAAATATGATTAACATGATTTTATACATTTAAATTATTAATATTATTCATTTGTGTTCAGCTTATTACATTTTTACAAACTAAGTTTTGTTTGTTATTTTTTAACGTTCTCTCATGCACGTTCTCTTCAAATCAGACGAAATGAAGAGACATTGACCGATTAGAATTTAAGAAATATGTCACAGTTAATTAAAAATCAATTCTACTTTAGATTATTTCAATATAAACCAGTTGAAAACAATATTCCTACATTTACGACTTAAATGATCAAATCTCGATATGTACATGCATACATTATGTTGTTGGATCAATATTTTGAATCCATAACAAAAGACCTGGAAAAGTTTAAAATTTCATAACTTTGATTTAAGTTATTGATTCTGCTTATATGAATAGTAGGGTTTATGACGAACACCTTTGAAATAGACATATACATAAAGGATTAATGTCATATCATATTTATTTATCACATATTTACAAACGCAATGTTTAACCATGTGTAAAATAAGATATATTTTACAAGTACTAGTGTAAGTTGAAGTGAAAATTTTCGCAATACATGCATGTATTAATTCAGTAAAATTTAAAAGTTTCAGTGCACATTTATAGTACATGTATTTCCAATCAATGAATGATCTTTTTATCTCACCTGAGCCGGAGAATCAGGTGAGCTTTTCTGGTCGAAGGGTGTTTCGCGTCCGTCTGTCGTGTGTCGTCTGTAAACTTTTCATATTTTCGACTTCTTCTCAAGAACCACTGGGCCAATTGAATCAAACTTGCCACAATGAATCCTTGGGTAAAGGGAAAGTAAATTTGTTCAGATGAAGAACCACGCCCTTTTTCAAGGGACAAAAAATTGAGAAAATGTTTCTAGTACATAGAAAAATCAATAAAAGCAAATGCCAATCTCCTCAAGAACAACAAAGCCATGATAAGTTATCAATATGGAAGGATCCTTAGGTAGTGAAGATTCAAGTTTGTTAAAATCATGGCCCCTGTGGTTGGGTAGGGCCAGAATGGTCGATCAAAGTTTTATACATAGGAATATTTAGGGGAAATTTTGCTGATGGAGAACAGCACGGCCATAGTAACTCAGGTGAGTGATGTGGCCCATTGGCTTCTTGTTATACTTAAATTTTGTATTTCTTATACTAGCATGTCGTATGTCACAGTCAGAGGAGAAAATCTACTTAATTTAATTCTAGAAAACCTTTGGAATAGCTGTATATAGATTAGAAAATAGCTGTTTATACATTTAGAATAGCTAAAAATTAACATTTACTGTGAACGATGGAAAATAATATCTCCATGTATGCAGTACGAGTTGATTTTAAGATTGCTTCCCTACTTATCCCAATATTGGACGAATGGCTTAAGATTGACCAAGAGTGTTTACAGTAAATTTGTACACAAAACATGACAAGTCCTTCAGAATAAAGTGTTTTCATTGAACCAAGGTACCGTATATTTCACTGGATCAAAATAATGTATGACAGAATTAAGGACATTTCTTTCAAGTGAACAAGATTCATTAAATATATCCTGGTATCACAGACACTTTTTTCTGTGATACATTTTTAACCCATAGAATAGTAATACCATAGGTTAAAACAATTATTACAGAAACAAGTGCCTGTGCCTGGTGTGTATAAAATAGCTAAAATTCGACCTTTGCTTCAAGGACTTATGGTAAAATTTCAAATACAGGTACAAACCTAGGCTTGAAAAATAGTGTGTCCATTCCGAATAATTTCAACAACACAATGTAGAAGCTATAAACATTGTTTTAATGTATAGAGAATATGCTAATAGGAAATAATACTGGTTTTTATGACGTTAAAAGTGCTTATAATCTGCTTAATTCCAATTGTGCACAAAAGGCTGAAAAATAAATTTAAATAAACATCCTAGCAGAATAAAAATGTATTAAAACCATTTTTTACATATCAAATTTATTTTGGCAAGTTAAGCTTGGGTAATGTAAAAGAATAGGAATCGGTGAAATGTATAAAAGTGTATGTTTCAAGAAAATCTTGTACGCACGCACACTTTTTCACGCATGCATGGTTGACTTTTTTTTTGGGGGGGGGGGGAGAATTTTATCCTCATTATTAACATCAATACAAGAAATGGTACTGAATATAAATAATACAAAAAAGGAGAGAAACTTCAATTCATGTTAACCTTTTGTTAGAAAAAACAATCTTAAAACTGATCCAAAGAATGAAACAAAAATGGTACAAACATGTAGGAATTTATTTATTTATGTTTCACACAATGACATTACACAATACAGTGATTATTCGTAAAATTAATTCTTTCTTTCAAAGCACTTACAGTGGGTTTAAAGGTGAAGGACTGGTCAGATCTTTTCTGATCTACAAAAGCCACGTCAAAGTGCCACAAAGTCATTACAACATATTCTGTACTAATCTTCTGTTTAGATATATATGAATGAATATTTACTGTATGTGTACTTAAAAAAGCGGGCTTCATATTTTAGCGGCTTTGGCGCAGACAACGATGCGCTAATTCATGAATACCGCTAAGAAATCATTTACCAATACAATACACGACACGGATATGTGTGGCGCTAATTTATGATTACGCCATCAACTACATACCCCTTGATTGCGCTAAATTTTGAATATGCCAATTTATGCACACGTACAGTATGTTACACATTTTATGACCACAGTCATTTCAAAATGCTGTACAAATTTAGATAAATTTGCAGTGATGGTTTTGGCAAAAGAAAAAAAAATTCTTTATTTCATTTATATATTTCATATTATACAATGACATAGTATTATATTATATATAAAGCACATTTTCAAAAGACAGATACATGTACAACACACATTTTGAAAAGCACTCATTTGGGTTTTTTATGCATGGCGATGAAGATGTGATCACTGAAAAGACATGCATTTATAAAATATACTCCTACAAGTAAGAGCCTCGATTAACGTCCCTACGCTCCTTGTATACCTCGGCGCCAAATCAAAAGTATCTCTCCTGAATCCCTAGCATGCTGGAGTAGTATAAAATAATACAGAATGTGTTTCACTTGAGGTGCTACTTCACCACAAATAAGACTCAGATCATGTCAATGATATTATCATGTAAATCATAATTCAGATCCAGAAAGAATGCTACAACAATGATTAATGTGTATATTTGACACCCCCCTCCCCCAAAACAAAACTCTTCTAGGCAAGAATCTTGTACTCAAAGCTTTTGAGAAGTAACAAATAAGTCAATACAGTTAAATATAATTTAAATTTGTATCAAAAGTGTACAGAATAAATTTAAAAAAAAAACATGAAAAACAAGATCAAACAACCATAAAATTTGTTCTACTGAATAATATCACTGGTTGCAAAACAAATCAATACTTCATAACTGTATCAAGAAAAAATGTATGACATTTATTGTTTATATTGAAATAAAATGGCTGCATCATATAAACTTACATGCATCGTTAAGTAATTCAGGTATCTGGTGTTTGTAATAAAATAAATGTAACTGTATAATACATACCAATTTCAAGAATTCAGATATTTGGTGTGTGTTTACAATGAAATAAAATAACTGTATATCATATATACATATCAGATATATGGTGTTTGTTTTCAGCAAAATAACTGTATATAATAAATACCAAATTAAATAATCCAGTATTTGGTGTTTGTTTACAATGAAATGAAATAACTTTATCATACAAATAAATAAAGTAATTCATATATCACATTAAAAAAATAATACTTATATACCTAATTAAGCTTTGTTGAATTGAACAATCCTAGAGTTTATATTTGTAGCTGTCCTTTAATGTTCTGATTTCTCTGAGTATTTTTGCTCTGGTTTCATCTGTAACGGGCTGCTCAAACTCTGTGACCTTCACTGCCTCTAGAATACCGGGTTCAGCTGTCCTCAAAAATGGATTATAGGACCTCTCCTCTTCTATGGTTGATGGACACTGAAGATGGACATACAATTACATGTACATGTATATTTGTTTGAAAATTTTGTAAAAAAAAAAAAAAAAAAAAAAAAAAAAAAAAAAAAAAAATAGTTCTGTCATTTTGTAAAAACATGTATGTCATTATTTAAAAAAATATAATAAGTTATTAGAATGATATTACATTTATTTTATTTTTATTTTGAATCAAGACAGTCTGGTGAAATAATCTGTACTTTAAAATGTCTGGGGAATAAGTTATTTCCATAATGTAAATCTTTGTGACTACCGGTACATGCTGGCTATGTCAGATAATGAGACAAAGAAAGGTAACTCAAGTTTGTCTACTTAAAATTTCCTTGTTTTCAGCCGGGCTCATTGCTCGAAGAGCAATGGCCGGTGTCGCATAATATTTGGTCCGCCTCGTTTAAAGGTCCGGGGGGACCTAATACGATAACATATAAGGTCCGCCTTTTATAAGAAAAGGTCCGGCCCGTATAAGAAAAGGTCCGCCGAAGTTTAAAGGTCCGGGTGGTGCAAAATGTTTTAATCTTGACTTAAACACATAAAATTAATTTACCCTAGCTGTTGTGTTTATTTTTTTTTTTTGTACAATATATCTCTTAGGGCAGGAATTGCTACTCCATGTTTAGTGTGCTTTTAGCAAAACCGTTTAGGGCAATGATTTAAAAAAAAAGAAATGTCGTATTTATTGGGCTTGTGTTTGTTTTTCCCCAACATTTGCATTGTGTAAATTAGGACGATGAAAGGTGTGAAATCTGCCGGTGTGTATAGGCAATAAAACAAGGGGGGTGTGAAGTATTCGTATACCTGACAGGTACCCGCAGGTAGAGCCCGCGGCAGATAGCAATGACAATGTAATGGTCATGTGTTTGCTTTAAATCAATAGATATGAATTCTCTATTTTAATAAATTATGCTGAAGATCAAATTATAATACTATTATGATATTCATGCCTACACATCAAAATTGTGATATAATTATATATAGTATATTTCTATTACAATATTTAAAGAAATTTCATATTCCAAGTGTAGAGTTTAATACTAAGACCGATAAAAAATAAAAGTATGTATATGCTTCCCTTTAGTTTTAACGATTAACTTGTTTTCAGTTTATAATAATATTTTGCCCTTTATTTGTGGATAGGGTAATATATAGCCTAATGTTGTATTCGATCTGTATTTACTGCAGAAACAAAATACATGTAATGTTAAGAGGGCTGGGTGGTTGTGGCCATTTTCAGACTATATTGATCTCCTTTAGAAGAAGAGCTCCATATAAAGATATACAAAAATGATCAAATTTTGAAACTAAAATGTATGAAATTTTTGTTTGCCAAATGATAGTTGACAGCTGAAGGTATTATATCTAAAAAATTAAGTTATATCTGATGGTTAATTTGTTGACCCCCCAGCCTCCTTAAAGCTTAAAACAGGTAATTCAATATTGAAAACATATACATCAGATTTAAAGTATAATCATGGTTTGGATTTAATTCTTTCTTATAAAAATATCACTCTTCCTCGTCATAATGAACTACATATGAAATAATATTTCATTTTTGTATTTTTTTTTTTTTTTTTTTTTTGCCAAAAGAAAAGGAAAGAAAAAGAAATTACACATTTTACTGTGACTATAATAGACAGACTGTGGGATAATCTATCAGGCTGTATTGCATGACCGATTAAAATTTGAAATCATTATTGTAAAATATTTTCTTTTATTACCGACATGAAGCATTTTGGGCAAAGTTGAATGTCCAGTTCTATATACAAGTCATTTATGTATCTCACGTCTGTATGAACGGGGGAAGGGGGAGGGAACATCAGTTGATCCTCTTCCTTTTTGTTTTGCGTATCAAGGAATTTCTATTTTCTACATTAATTTGTACTATAACCCCCCCCCCCCCCCCAAATGCACCCAGAAATATACATGTACTGACTGATTGTTTCTGGGGACGTTGTCAAGCGTGCGTCATATTTCCCATTTCAAGCTACATGATATGTACATTTTCGTGGTGTCGACTAGAAGCGTTTCAGTCTAACTTTAAATCAAAAAAATATTTCTTTTATAAAACGCTGATTATGTATGATTATTTATTTTATTCATTTATGGAAAGTGGCAACTCACGGTTATCCGGAGAAAAAAGGTAATTCATGGGGTTTTCCATCATGAGAGTCCAAGCTGCAGACAACTCAGTATTACGCTACAACTCCATACCAAGTAGTCCCGGAGAATTGACACTGTATGGAGTATGACTGAGAGTCATACTCCATACTCTCCGGGACTTCTTTCCCTACGAATAATGATATGGAGTAATACTGAGCTGTCTGGAGCTTGATTGAGAGTGATCTCCCGTGTAGAATTTTCTACGCGGTGAAAGCCAATAAAGTGTATTGTTTAGTACCACTACACCTGCTCAAGAGTTTTTGAAAAATTCTTTACGAAAGCTAGGAACTTTGCCAATCTCCTTAAATTATCCTTTTCGAAGTCCTCAGTCATTCTCCATGGTAACCATGGAGGAAATAATACAATCGGTCTCATGTAGTCATGACAGAATTTTTGAAGTTCGATTTTCATAAATGCTATACATTGCACATATGTTGTTTCGGATATTACCTAACAATTTTGAATAATGATTATACAGGCGCGGATCAAGAATTTTTCCAGGGGGGGGGGGCATCCCAGTCAAAAAAAATTCTAACCCAAAAATTTCTTGACAAGGAAGAAAAAAAAACGTCAAATCCAATTCCATTTCCAAAACGTGAAAAACACCTATTTCGTGGTGGTGATGGTAGGGTCCACGTTTTCTTAGGGGGCCCAAAGTCATTTTTTATTTACTTCAGTATATACTTTTAATAACTCTGCAAATTTCAGATGGGGGGGGGTTCCCTCGACTCCTCCCCCCCCCCACCCCGATCTGCGCATGTTATATGAATAATTTCGGTAGTGGCTGGAGAAATTTCCGGTAATACATTGCATCTCAGGTGAGGAAGAAGGGAAGGGGTGGCAATAACACCTTCTTTAAATTTCCATCTGCTCCTTGAGTATCAAGTACGTAGAAAATAAACACCATCTGGTGTATTACAGATTTCTTTTTACTTGTCACACAAGGCATTTACCACATACATTATGTACGTAGTGTTGATGAACCCCTTTCTTATTTTTAAGATGATTATTTTCCCAATCATTGAAACAAATACTCCCTCTTTTTCATGCTATATGAATCAAAGTCTAAAGATACGGATACAGTACAACTAATGATCATTCTAACATAACATTTTTGTGATATGGATAATAAATCTGAACATATCTTTTGATTGTATGTGGTGAATATATTCTAGATAAATATACATTGTACTACCAGATTCGTCACTGCCTTTTATAAAAGAATCGTCCTACGATTTTCCAAGACCTTGACATAAAATAAGTGGCCCATAGGCCACAACGCTCACCTGAGTCAATAAGGCCCTGCTGTTTTTCATCAGCAAATTTATTCTAACATATCTTCCAATGTAAAACATTAATCACTATTGTGACCCCACCCTACCCCAGGTGTCATGATTTTTATAGATATAGCGCTAGCCCCACCCTACACCTCGGGGTCATGATTTAAACAAACTTGAATTTACACTACCTCAAGATACTTCTATATCAATGTGACTAAACATGGCTTTGTTGTTCCTGAAAAAAAGGTTTTAGAATTTTTTTCCTATACATTCACATGCTAAACCCTGATAGTGCATTGTGGCCCATCCTACCCCTAGGGGGTCATGGTTTGATTGATTGATTGATTAGGGTTTAACACCGAGTAGGCTATATTTCAGCCATATTCCGGCGAAAAATTAATTTTATATGACCTGTTATCATGGTTTAAACAAATTTGAATCTACAATACCTGAGGATGTTTCCATATCAATCTGACTAAATATGGCTTTGCTGTTCTTGTGGAGAAGATTTTTCGATATATATATCCTATGTAAAACTTTTGATCCCCCATTGTGACCCCACCCTACCCCAGGGGTCATGATTTGAACAAACGTACATCTATACTAACTGGTGATGCTTCCATATTAATATGACTAATCATGACATTGCTGTTCTTAAGAAGATTTTTTAAGACTTTTTCCTAGATATTCCTATGTAAAACCTTAATCCCCCGTTTTGATCTATCTATTATGAAGAGAAAATTATAGACAGGGTTTTTCTGTAGCATGAAAAATAGAGAAAGGGGCAGGGCGGACCTTAAAACGCAGTATATATAAAGGTCCGCCCTCTATAATTTAGATGTCTTACTGTTAGAAAGCAAACATTTTAGGCAAGGTTTTATTTCCGTAACAGAAAAACTAGTCAAAATGACAGGGCGGACCTTAAAACGCAGTATAATAAAAGGTCCGCCCTCTGTTTTTCAGATATCGTACTGTTAGAAGGCGAAAAATTTTGAACAGGGTTTATTTCCGTAGCATACAACTAGAGAAAGAGACAGGGCGGACCTTTAAATGCAGTATAATAAAAGGTCCGCCCTCTATATTTCAGATATCTTACTATTCAAGGCGAAAACTTTGAACAGGGTTTATTTTCGTAGCATAAAAATTAGAGAAAGAGACAGGGCGGACCTTAAAACGCAATATAATAAAAGGTCCGCCCTCTATATTTCAGATATCTTACTATTACAAGGCGAAAATTTTGAACGGGGTTTATTTTCGTAGCATACAAACTAGAGAAAGAGACAGGGCGGACCTTAAAACGCAGTATAATAAAAGGTCCGCCCTCTATATTTCAGATATCTTACTATTACAAGGCGAAAACTTTGAACAGGGTTTATTTTCGTAGCATAAAAATTAGAGATAGAGACAGGGCGGACCTTAAGACGCAATATAATAAAAGGTCCGCCCTCTATATTTCAGATATCTTACTATTACAAGGCGAAAAGTTTGAACGGGGTTTATTTTCGTAGCATACAAACTAGAGAAAGAGACAGGGCGGACCTTAAA